TGGAAGGTGGAGAGCGAGGCCAGGATGGAGCCGCCGATCCACACCGAGTACTTGCGCTCCGGAGGGGCGATGATCTGCAGGAGGAGAGCAGCGGTCAGGGTGGAGTGGCCTTCCTCTCCCTGCGAGGACCAGGCCAGCCCACCACAGAGCATCCCTTACCTTGATCTTCATCGTGCTGGGCGCCAGGGCTGTGATCTCCTTCTGCATCCTGTCGGCGATGCCGGGGTACATGGTGGTGCCACCAGACAGCACCGTGTTGGCATACAGGTCCTTTCGGATGTCAACGTCGCACTTCATGATGGAGTTGAATGTGGTCTCGTGGATGCCGCAGGACTCCATGCCTGGGGAAGGAGAGTTGCAAGCTCATTAGCACCCATGCTGCGCCTCGCTCTGGCAACGCTAGCCCCACGTGACCCACACCTACCCAGGAAGGAAGGCTGGAAAAGGGCTTCGGGACACCGGAACCTCTCGTTGCCAATGGTGATGACCTGGCCGTCAGGCAGCTCATAGCTCTTCTCCAAGGAGGAGGAGGAGGCAGCGGTGGCCATCTCCTGCTCGAAGTCCAGCGCGACGTAGCAGAGCTTCTCCTTGATGTCACGGACAATTTCCCTTTCGGCTGTGGTGGTGAAGCTGTAGCCCCTCTCTGTCAGGATCTTCATGAGGTAGTCTGTCAGGTCACGGCCGGCCAAGTCCAGACGCAGGATGGCGTGGGGCAGAGCATAACCCTCGTAGATGGGGACGGTGTGGGTGACACCATCTCCAGAGTCCATAACAATACCAGTGGTACGACCAGAGGCATAGAGGGACAGCACAGCCTGGATGGCCACGTACATGGCTGGGGTGTTGAAGGTCTCAAACATGATCTGGGAAGGGAAAGGATAAAGAAGCCAGTGAGCACCAAGTAACGACACGGTGGCCACTCAACCTCCCCCGTTAGAACACGCATGCTGACATGCACAAAATTAAGCTAAAACCACGGTGTGTGAAGGGAAAACGCAAAGACCGCAGGCAGAAAACACAAAACGAAAGAAACCTGAGGCGTCAAGGAAGAAATGCCACGAGTACAGAGCCCTGAAAACGGCGGGAGAGAAAACAAAAAGAACCAAACTCAGGGTTGAGATGTAACAAAAGGAGGGTCGGGAACAAAGATGAGAGCCGGGGCGGGGAGCGGAGGGCAGGGAGCCGGTACCTGCGTCATCTTCTCTCTGTTGGCCTTGGGGTTGAGGGGAGCCTCGGTGAGCAGCACGGGGTGCTCCTCGGGGGCCACGCGCAGCTCGTTGTAGAAGGTGTGGTGCCAGATCTTCTCCATGTCATCCCAGTTGGTGACGATGCCGTGCTCGATGGGGTACTTCAGCGTGAGGATCCCTCTCTTGCTCTGGGCCTCGTCCCCCACGTAGCTGTCCTTCTGCCCCATGCCCACCATGACGCCCTGGGGAAACCAAGGGTGAGTCAGCACCCGCCCAGCGCCAGCACCGCCCCGGCCCTCCCTCCCCTCCGCTCCCCTCCCCGCCTACCTGGTGCCGGGGGCGCCCGACGATGGACGGGAACACGGCGCGGGGGGCGTCGTCCCCGGCGAACCCGGCCTTGCACATGCCGGAGCCGTTGTCGATGACGAGGGCGGCGATCTCCTCTTCCATGGCGGGCGCTCTGCGGCGGCAGAACCCGGTCAGCGACCCCGCAAGCGGGAGAGGCCCGGCCCCGACCCCCCCCCCCCCCCCCCCCCGACTGCTGTTTGAATCGCCCGCGCCCTGACGTCACCCGCCGCCGCCACCAATCGCGTCCCACCCCACACCGGCCCGTTCAAGCGGGCGAGACCATTCCATTGCGGTGCGGGGGGGGATACACGGGACGCGACCCGGGCACAACCAACCCCGGGGGGGGGACGGGACCGAACCCGCCGGCCCCGGTGGGTGCAGGGGAAGGGGCTGCGGTGCTGGGGCGAGCCCCGGTGCGGCGGGGCCGGTGCGGTACCTGTGCGGGGGAAGCTGCTCTCGGCGCTGCGCAGACGCTGCCGCGGGTTCCGCTGCCGCCGGCTGAGTGAGACCGCCCGGCTCCCAGCCCCACGCTTTTATACTCAGAGGGCGGCGGCTCCGCCCACCCGGCCGAGAACATCGCCATATATGGAGATCTTTCAGAAACAAGCCTTCTCATTGGCTGCTACGGACAAGGCCACGTGGGGCGGCTGCCGGGCTGCCCCCGCCCCGCGCACCCCGGAACCTGCATGGGTTTCTTATGGGGGGGGGGGGGGGGGGCGGCGGCGACCCCCGGCCCCGGTGGGGGCCCCCCCCCCTTCCCCCCCCAGGGCAGGGCCCGGGTCCATCCGGTACCACCGGGTCCAGCCCCGCGCCCCGGAGGTGGCACCGGCAGTGCCCCCCCCCCCCCGACACCCGGTGCCCCCTGGGCAGCACGTGCAGCGCCGCGGGCAGCACGTGTACCCCACCGACGGCACCCATGGCACCCACCGACAGCACCCCTGGCACCCATAGCACCCACCGACGGCACGCATGGCACCCATGGCACCCACCGACAGCACCCATGGCACCCATAGCACCCACTGACGGCACCCATGGCACCCACCGACAGCACCCCTGGCACCCATAGCACCCACCGACGGCACCCATGGCACCCATAGCACCCACTGACGGCACCCATGGCACCCACCGACAGCACCCATGGCACCCATGGCACTCACTGACGGCATCCATGGCACCCACCGATGGCACCCATGGCACCCATAGCACCCACTGACGGCACCCATGGCACCCACCGACGGCATCCATGGCACCCACCGACGGCATTCATATCACCCACCGACTGCACCCATGGCACCCATAGCACCCACTGACAGCACCCATAGCACCCACTGATGGCACCCATAGCACCCAGCGACGGCACCCATGGCACCCATAGCACCCACTGATGGCACCCATGGCACCCATAGCACAGGGAGTCCCTGAGCCCTGCACACCTCCAGCAGCACTGCACCTCCATCGCACCCGCACCGGTCCCATCCTGGCATCAGCATCCCGCAGCCATAAGCACCCCCTACCCATCGCGCCTGTAGACGGGCTGTGATGCTGGAGCGACACCCAGCACCCTGCAGGTAGCACCCTGCACCCTATAGACAGCAATCCGCACCCCATAGCAGTGCCCTGCACCCCGGCAGTGCCACAGCACCACACAGCCAGCACCAGGCACCCCAAAAGCCCTCATCCTCAGCTCCAGCACTGCCATGCACCCAGTGATAGCACTGGCACCCCACAACTGCTGCTGTGCACCCCATGGGTGGCACCCTGGCCATGGCCAACACCAGAGCCTGGCAGTCTGGGCCCCTCCTCATGTCTGAGGTCTCCGGCTTCATCCTGGGGTACCCTGGGCTGTGTCACCCCCACTGCTGCCGGTGTCATGGCATGGCTCAGCCCAAGGCACCGTGCCAGAGCCCCCTGCCAATGCTGGGTATCCAAGTGCCATGCCAGGCAGCCACAGGGTACAACAGAGCCCCACGTGCCATCCTGGCAGCCCCTTGGTGCTGCTGGGTGCTGACCCGGGCAGCTCCTGGCCTTGCCATCACTGACTCCCATGGGATGCCCAGCACCGCTTGGGGGCAAAGCTCCCCAGCTCCGGCGTCCCTGCAGGCCCCGGTGCTGCCGGTGGCCGAGCCCGGTGTGAAGGGGTCACCGGTGCCACAGCAGCAGAGCGGGGATGTCGGGATGCGGGTGCCAGCAGGATGCGGGGGTCCCGGCACAGCTTGAAGGGTCTCACACCCCTGTGCCATGCCCCGGTGGGCTGCGGTGGGCTCGGGCCAGGATCCAGCTCCTAGGGGCTGTGCAGGTGACGGCTGCATCCCATTACTCCCATCCCAGGGTGCAGGGACCGGGTGGAGCCCCCCGGGGCACCCATTACCGGCGGTCCCTGTGCGGGGACATTGGGGGGTCCGGGGCACCCACAGCGTGTGTGGGGAGACACAAGCACGGGACAGCGCGGGTCGGGGCCGGTGACACCGGGGATGGGCGGCGGGGACCCGCTGCTTCCTCCTGCCCAAACACGGCGGCCGCTGGGGCAGGGCCGGGCCGGCGGTGCCCGTATTAGGAGCGATGGGGCCGGTGGGTGCGGGAGGAGGAGGAGGAGGAGGAGGAGGAGGAAGGCGCCGCGCCCCGCCCGTCGCCGCGGTGATGCGGTCACGCACACACACACACACCCGGTCCCGTCCCCTCCCGTCGTCACGGTGACGGCCGGGACGGGTGTTGGCGCAGGGAGGGGTGACGGGAGGGGTACCCGATACCCCGCACCCCTGAGCGCCCCCAGAGCCCCGGCATCCCCCATCCCTTTGGACCGGTGTTGGATGGAGCCGGGGTGGGGGCACCCTCGTGATGCTCGCACAGGGGGGGGCTGTCGTGAGCATGTGGGGTCTCAAAGCCACCCCCCCCCCCCCAAAGCAGGGAGTGATGCAGAGGGGGGTCCGGGCGTCCCCAGCTCAAGGGGATGCAGGCACCGGCTCTGGTTGTGGGGCAGAGCCCAAACGAGCCCCTCCAAAGGGAACCTGGCCCCCATGGCGGGGGACTGGGGGGGGGGGGGCAACATGTACAAATGCAGCTCCTGGAGGCTCAGTGCTGATGGGCACCCACCGAGACCCAGCGCTGCCAGACCCCACCAGCTGCCCACAGGTGCCCACAGCCCCACAGCCCCTCCGCAGGACCCTGACCCACTTATCTCCCCCCATCCCGAAAGCTGACCCGTATCCGTTTCACTGGGGGTCAGTTACATCGCGCCGGGCTCGGGTATCGCCACGGCCGGGGGGGGGCTGAGGGAGGCTCGGCCATGAAATAGTGATGAGGTACCCAACCCCCGGGGCTGCTGCGGAACAATAACCGGTGCTGCGCTGACACCGGAGCCATCGCTGCGGCACAACAGCATCACCGCGGCCAGGGGTGGGATGGGGGTCTGAGCGCTTCGGGGTGGCCAAAGGCTGTCCTTAGGTGCCTGCGGTGGAGCGTGGTCAAAGCTGGAGGCCGGGCTGAGGGGAAGGCGCAGTGGGGACCGTCCCCTCCTGGCCCCTCAGGCAGCACCCGCACCACCGCCATGAGCTGCACCCAGGCTCAGCCCTGTGGCGCTGGAGATGGAGGGTCCCCACCATCACCGCTGTGGGCTCCTGGAAGGGGGAGAAGCAGCCATGACCCCGATCCGGAGCCCCAGGAGGGATTTGGTGCTAACAGGACAGATGGAGGCCGAGGGCCCCAAAGCAGGATAAAAGGTTTAAACTAATCAAAATGCCTGGCTAATTGGTAAAGGCGCTTATGGGCAGGGCGGGAGGCGGCGCGGCTGGAGGTGACCGCTGCTCAATCAGAGGGGCCGGTAACCTTAACCCGCCGGGAACGGATACGCCGGATCGAGTTCCCACACCAGTTTTCCACCTGCGGCTCCGTGGCAGGAGAGCCGAGGCCGCGGGGACGGACGGTGGCCGGGGGCTGCCGCGGTGGCCGGTTCCGGCAGCCCCGGCGCTCGCCGCAATCTGGCCGGGTTTTATAACCCCATAGCGGCCGATCAACCGGCACCGGGGCACCGCAGCCGTCCCCAGGGCTCGGCAGGGCCGGGGGAACGCCCCCGCCGAAGATGCCAACGAATGGGATCCACCAGGTCCTGAAGATCCAGTTCGGGTTGATCAACTGCGAGAGCCGGTACCTGACGGCGGAGAGCTTCGGCTACAAGGTGAACGCCTCGGCGCCCAGCCTGAAGCGCAAACAGATCTGGACGCTGGAGCAGGATGAGGCCGACAGCTCCGTCGTCTTCCTCAAGAGCCACTTGGGCCGGTACCTGGGCGCTGACAAGGACGGGAAGGTGCGGTGCGAGGCCGAGCAGCCGGGCCGGGACGAGCGCTTCAGCATCATCACGCAGTCGGACGGGCGCTGGGCGCTGCAGTCGGCGCCGCACCGGCGCTTCTTCGGCGGCTGCCAGGACCGCCTGTCCTGCTTCGCGCCCAGCGTGACGGAGGGCGAGCTCTGGACCGTGCACTTGGCCATGCACCCCCAGGCCAACCTGCTCAGCGTCAGCCGCCGCCGCTACGCCCACCTCAGCGCCCACGAGGACGAGATCGCCACCGACAGCAACCTGCCCTGGGGGGTGGACGCGCTCATCACCCTCTGCTTCCAGGACAAGAAGTACAGCCTGCGCACGGCCGACGAGCGCTACCTGCGCTGCGACGGGACCCTGGTGCCCGAGCCCGGCGCCCGCACCGGGTACACCCTCGAGTTCAAGGCGGGCAAGCTGGCCTTCAAGGACTGCGACGGCAAATACCTGGCACCCACCGGGCCCACCGGGACCCTCAAGTCCGGCCGCAGCTCCAAGCCGGGCAAAGACGAACTCTTCGACCTGGAGGAGAGCCACCCGCAGGTGGTCTTCACCGCGGCCAACGGCAGATACGTCTCCATCCGGCAGGGTAAGCGCCGCCGGCCCCATGGGAACCCCAGGGAGCGGCTCCCACCCCCTGGGAACCCCGCTATGGGAGGAGAGCCTGCAATGTCCACCCCATAGCTGCTCCCCAGGGATATGGGGCACCCCACTGCTGCTGCTGCTCTGGGGAGGCTGCAGCTGAGGGCTGTAGGCGGGGGCCTGTGGCCAGAGCAGAATGGGGCTGTGCTGGGCTCCATAGGTGTGTGTGTGTGCAGCCAGCGCTCCATGGGTGTGTATAGGTTTGCATAGCGGGGTGTGTTTGTGTGCAGAGCTCCATGTGTGGGTTTAGGGCTGTGTGTGGGTGCACCGGGCTCACAGGGAGGGTGCACACGTGTGTGTACAGAGCGAGCAGGGCTGCACGCGATGCATGCATTTGCATGCACAGCCCATACGTGTTTATGCATGGCCATTGCGGGGTGTGCACAGCTCTGTGCCGCCCATGTGTGCGTGTGCAGGGCTCATCCCGGGCTGGTGCATGTGTGTTTGCGTGTGCACACGCATGCAGGGCTCTGCTCAGTGCCATGGAGGTGTGTGCATGTGTTTGCACACACAGAGACACGCGTGTCCTGGCGTGGGGCTGTTTGGCACCAGGGGCAGGCAGCAGGAGGGGTTGGTTGTGCAGAACCATGCCCATGGGCAGACCCCTCCATGGGGTGCCTGGCACGGGCCATGGCTGCGCCGAGGCCTCCGGAGCCCATGAAGGTCCCCATGGCTGTGCCATGCCCCCGGCTGCCCCGGCACCGCGCTGCCCCTTTGCCAAGCAGCTTAGGGCCGGGTGGCAGTGTCGGGCAGGCTATAAATAGGGAATTGTGCGGCGCGCCGCGGCGCTGGCCAGATGGACCCGCAGCAATCAGCTTACCCAGCCCAATTAGCACGGTTGTTCATAGAGGGATTTACCAGCGAGGGGGGAACGTGGCCGCAGCGTGGCCGGTGCCAACGTCCGTCCCCTCCTGCCCGCAGGCATCAACGTGTCGGCAAACCAGGACGAGGAGCTGAACCACGAGACCTTCCAGCTCCAGATCGACCGCGACACCAACAAGTGCAGCCTGCACACCAACACCGGCAGCTACTGGACCCTCGTGGCCCATGGGGGCATCCAGGCTGTGGCTACCGAAGTGTGAGTGGTGCCAGGGGCTGGGGCTGGGGTGGGCACAGGGGCTCCCGGCTCACGCTCCCCCCTTCACCAGCGCTGCCAACACCATGTTCGACATCGAGTGGCGCGGGCGGCGCGTGGCCCTGCGCGCCAGCAACGGCCGCTACGTCTGCACCAAGAGGAACGGGCAGCTCGCGGCTGTCAGTGATGCCGTGGGTAAGTGCTGGGGTGGGGTTGGGGTTCGGGGGGGGGTGTCCAACACCCCAGGGTGCTCAAGGCCGGGCTCCCGCGCAGGGGAGGATGAGGAGTTCACGCTGAAGCTGATCAACCGCCCCATGCTGGTGCTGCGGGGCGAGCACGGCTTCGTCTGCTACCACCGCGGCTCCAACCTGCTCGACTCCAACCGCTCCGTCTACGACGTCTTCCACATCAGCTTCAGCGACGGCGCCTACCAGATCCGAGGTGGGTGATGGGGACGATGCTATTGGGGTCGGGGTGGGGGTACCACAGGCCCTGCCAGACCCCACCAACAGCCCCAGGGGGCTCCCGCAGGCCAGGGGGGCAAGTTCTGGTACGTGGCGAGCAGCGGGGCCGTGTGCAGCGATGGGGACCTCTCCGAGGATTTCTTCTTCGAGTTCCGGGAGCGGGGCCGCGTCGCCATCAAAGCCAAGAACGGGCGGTACCTGCGCGGGGACCCGGCCGGCTCCCTGCGCGCCGACAGCGACTCCGTGCTGCGCGCCACGCTCTGGGAGTACTGACCCGCGGGGGCTGCCACCGGCACTGGCCCCATCCGTGGCAGCTCTGTGCCCGGTCCCCCTTGGCTCCTGGCATTAAACTCAGTTTGGATCACACCAGGGCAGCGCCTCGTCCTCCCACCTGCAGCACCCAGGATCCCGTCCCCATCCCTGTCCCCAGCCTGGGGCCTTAAACCCCAAGACTGAGTCCCGACACCCCAGGGAAAGGGCCGATCCTATTGCCACATCCCACCCCTGCCACTGCTCTAGGACATGGGGACACTCGGGCTGCTGCAGGCAGAGCTGCCAGGCTTGGGGGGGGCACAGGGCTGGGGGTCCCATGAGGCAGCTGGGGCTGGGGGCTCAGCCACACAAACCCACTGCCACACTGGGAACCGGAGGGGAGGGACTGGGAACCAGAGCATGGAGGCACTGGGATGCCCATGGCCCCTCTGCCAGGCCGGGGCGGCAGGAGGGGACGGCAGTGGCAGCACCGCAGGGAGCTGGCAGGGCCCCGCTTGAGATGGAAAGGAAAGAGACGGGCACTGGTGAGCGGCACGATCGATTTCATGGCAGACGACAGAGTTACAGACACTGGAGCGGGGCGGGGAAGGACCAGGCCAAACCCCGCAGCCCCGCCACGGAAACACGGGATCCCTTATAGAAACAACGGGGGAGCGGAACCCCCCTCCCCTGCCCAGCAGAAAACGGGGCTCCCCCGGGGCGGGCGCCCGCTGGGCACCCTGGCACAGCACCCTGTTTGTCCTGATCCTGAAAGGCAAGGCGGGCCGGGGGCACAGCCCGCGGCGCAGCGCGGCACGGCCGGGAGAGCACTACAACTACCACGGCTAGAACGATCCACGAGACACCACGGCCCCGGAGCTGCCCGCGGGGCGGCAGGGCCGGGCTGGGGCCAGCCCAGGAGCCCCCTGGCGCTGCCACCGGAGCCCCGCGACCCTCCGGTGCTGCCAACACGACCACAAAACACACACACACACACACACACACACGTGTCCCCACAACCGGGTCACCGCCGCGGCCGCCCAGGGCCTCACCGCCTGCCCGGGCTCGCTCCTCCTCCGGTGGGGGTCCCTCCTCGCCGCTGTCCCATGGGCACCCGCCCCGGCCGGCGGGGCTTGGGCTCACCCCGCTGCTCAGAGCAGAACAAGGCTGGGGTTCCGCAGCTGCTGGTAGATCTGGAGGAGCTTCTCTGCCATGGCGGCTCCCTCCTCGCCGTGGGGTGACTGCTCCCGCAGGGTCTGCACCTCCTTCAGCAGCGTCTGTGCAAAGATGGAGCTTGAGACGGGCGCTGCTTCGGGGGTCCCCGTGGCGTGCACCCCGCGGGGGAGGGCGCTGCGCCACAGCGGGGGCCCGGTGCTCCGGCTCACCTCGTGGTTGGCCTGGATCTGGCGCAGGTACTGCATGCGGAGGTCAGGGGCCCCCGAGCCCTGCGCTGCCTGCTCCAGCACCAGCGCCTGTGGGAACGGGGAGCTCTGAGCACCCGGCACCGGGAACCCCGGCTCCGGGCCCGAGGCAAGGCTCCACTTGGCAGCCGTGCTCGCCCCAAGGCCTGGCACCGCGTTGTGCCGGCGCTGAGGCACCTCCGGGACGGCTGCCAGCCCCGCTGCTCGGCTCGGCTGCCAAGCTGACCGGGGTTGTTCCCAGGGCTGGCGGACGGCATTCCCGGTGTTCCAGGCCTCGGGAAGGGAATGGGGTGCACCACGGTCCCACTCCCCAGCCCTGCCAAAAGCCAGCCCCGGCTGCCACATGGTGGTGCCAGAGAAACCTCCCGGAGCACGCGGCTGCAGGCTTCGGCCTCAGGGCTTTGGTGGCCTCGGGGTCCCCCCTGTCCCCCCAGGGCCACGTCTGCAGGGACCGAGCGTACCTGGATGCGCCGGATCACGGCGTGGTGCATCCTGCACATGTCAGCCAAGGACGGGCTCTCCACCAGGATCTCCACGGCCTGGATGGGCCCCGCGGGGCTGAGGTCGTTCATGGACACCTGGGACAGCGAGAACATCCTCAACACCACCACTGAAACAGCGGATGGAGTGAGGGCACCCAGGACCCCTCCCCATGGCACAGGGGTCCCCAAGAGGCTCTTCTCCCCCATCCCTACCCCCTGCAACCCATTTCCTCTCCAGCCTGGAACAGGGAAATGCACCAGAGATGCTGCCAGCCCAGCTGGGCGCATCAGAGCCCTTGTCCAGCCCCTCTGAGGAGTGTTTGCCCCCAGCCCAGCCCTGGTGGCCATGAGGCTCCAGATGAGCCCTCGCCTGCTCCTTCAGCCAAGGCAGAGCCGGTACCGCAGCCAGCAGAGCAATGGGTCTCACCGGTGCTGCCGGTGGTCAACGGATGCTCGTTCCTGACAAGATGCTGGCTGCCACCCTGGTGGATTTAATCCATCAAGCTCAGCCCAGGCAGAATTAACACTGCCACTGATCACAGTGGTGGTACTGAAGCTCTCAGCCGTGAACCAGCCCAAGCCAGGTCATGGCCCGTGCCAGGCCCCTCGTCATGGGGTCCACCAGGAAAGCCGGGCGGTTTGTGCTTTCCCTCTGTGCTTGGAGGGGGGGATTTTCACATCTCAGAGGGGCTGGGCAAGGGGGGGGCAGGAGCAGGGGCCACACTGCTCCAGTGGAACGCCCATAGCCAAGAGCACCCACAGGGATCCTATGGGCTGGCAAAGGGACGTTGGGAGGGGAGGTGGCACGTGCCAGCAGCCCACTGCCCTGCCTAGGAGGGAAATGAGAATACTGGGGGGGGCACAAACCCACCTAGAGAGGAAGGGAAGCTGCCACAGCCTTTGGGAAGTCTAGGACTGGGAGAAGAGGACCCCTTGAGCCCCACACACCAGCCCCAGCCCCAGCGCACAGCAGGCAGCAGACCCCCAGACGACAGCGTGGGGTCAGGGTGTCAAGGCCAACATCACCCGGCTCCTGGCACGAGCGAGGGGGCTGTGGGACGGAGCTGCTGGGATGGGGAGCTCCTCTGAGGGCTGACCCATTGCTTGCCTCTCGCACGAGCAGCTGCACCTCTCCTCCGGCCGGAGCCGCGCCGCGCACCGAGGTCACGGTCCCGCTGCTCAGCGCCTCGGCCCCGGCGTTCTCTGCCAGCAGCCAGCGCAGCGTGGCACAGCTCAGGGGCACCTCTGCGGACACAGGGCACAAAGAGGAGCTCGTTACAGGGCTGACCAGTGCCCCAGGAGACCCCCTCTGCTGTGGCTGCCCCATCCCTGGCAGTGCTCAAGGCCAGGTTGGACACAGGGGCTTGGAGCAAGCTGCTCTATGGAAGGGGTCCCTGCCCGTGGCAGGGGTTGGAGCTGGAGGAGCTTTAAGGTCCCTTCCATCCCAAAACATTCTCTCATTCTCTGATTTCTCCCTTTTCCTCTGAGTAAAAGGGTAAGAAAAGCATTCACCCAGTTGATAAATGGGGGTCGGCTCAGAGGTGCTTTCAAGGCAGCCGGGATGGAGGCGCCTCTGCCCCAGGACATGGGGATGCTCGTCCCCAGGAACCCACCTGAGTCAGAGGCTTTCAGTGCGGTTTTCAGCAGCTCCGAGGACACCCTGATGGACGCTGCCGACGGCGGCAGGTTCCCCTCTCCCGGGGCGGGCGGCTGCTCCTCATCCTTCCCCCCCTTGGGCTCAGTCTGCTCCCGGGACACTTTGAAGAAGGTCTCCACGGGGTCTGGGGGTGCAGGGGCCAGTGGGGAGGGGTCCGTCCCGGGGGGGCTGCTCTTAAAACGCAGGCACTGGAGCATGTCAATGGTGCATTCGCTGAGGGGCAGGCAGATCCCCTCTCTGTCCGGGGAGAGCAGGGGCGAGTCGTCGGGCAGGAAATCATCCAGGGCCTCGGAGGAGTCGGAGCCGCTGCCCAAAATATCCCGTAAACTGTAGTAGAGGGCACAGGAGATGGTCAGAGGCAGGTCCAGCTTGGCGTCGGCAGCAGAGCCGAGGGGCAGCGTCAGCTCCCTCTTGTTGCCAGGGAGGAGCTGGTCGATGGGGAAGGTGAAGGTGGTGGCCGTGTCGGCAGATTCCTCCTCTAAGGCACAGGGGCTGGCCAGGAGCTGAACGCAGAGGGTCCAGCCCTCCTCCAGGCTGTACTCGCTGCAGTTCTCCAGCAGGCAGGAGATGGTGACGGTGTCTCGGAGCAGGAGGCAGCTCCAGTTGGCAGTGACAGTGCAAGCAATGGGCTTCTGGCCTTCTTGGCTGGAGAGCAAAGCCGCGCTCACGTTCATCACCTGGTTCAGGCTGGCCAGGGCTCGGTTCTTTTGGTCCACTGCTTTCTTCAGGAAGGAAACTCTGCAAGGACAAAGAGTCAGAGCTGAAACAGGAGCAGGGATGACAACAAGGACGCCGGGTCGGCGACAGGAGCACGGCAGGGGCTGGTGACAAAGGGCTGCCGCGCAGACGAGCTGAGCAGCCCCAGCGCCCTGATCCACCGAGGAACTCCCCATCTCCTTCCCCATAGATCCAGGGTGCTCTGCCCGTGAACCCCCAGGCGCGGAGCTGACCGAGGAGCAGCTCCATCCAGCCAGGCCCCGGGAATGCCGCTGCCAAGGGGGAGCTCGGAGCCTCCCTCCCGCTGCAGATGGCCGCGGGGGCCCGCGCCTGCCCTGCCTGTCCCCGCCGGCTTGGCAAGCGCCGGGGTGTCTGGCAGCGCCTGGCACGCTGCCTCTGCCACCTTCTGCTGCTGAGGCTGTAAATACCAGCCTGCCCGCAGCGCCCGGGGAAGGGGGGGCCCTGAGACACTGCTTTTATCCTGTGCTGCGCTCCCAAAGGGAACCTTGGAGCAGGCACGGACAGAGCTCATGGCTGAGGCACAAAAGCTCGGTGCCCGTAAACCCCGCCTCTCGCAGAGCCCTTTACCTCTCCGAGGTGTTGCCGATCCCAGACAGCAGCTCCTTAATCCTCCGGCCAATCTCAGCGGGTGTCAGCTCCACGTCAGGTTCCTCGGGGCTGCATAAGCCACAGGACATGAGGCGGCCTTTGGCAGACAGGGCCAAGAGCTCGGATTCACCTACGGGCAGAGATGGGGCAGGTCAGGCAACCAGGGAGGGCTGTGAGGGGTCGGGAAGGCAGCCGGGGCTTCCCTGGTGGCTGGAGGGGATGCAGGGGAATGGAGGAGCACAGGATGGCACTGCCTGCCCCAAGGTACCACCTCCATCTGCAGCGGGGTACAACAGAGACAGGACACGGACCACAGCAGCACCTCTGCCCACCTCACACACAGACCCATGAAGGGAAATGCCCCCCCTCATCCCTGTCCTGTCCCCAACAGCCCCGCCGCCCCAGCCATGCTTCCCGGAGCTGCCCGCCCCCAAGCCAAGGCCAGCAGGAGCTGGGGGGGCCGCAGCACGCTGGGAGCCAGCGCTGCCATGCAGGGTCCCCAGCAGCGAGCCACATGCAGCTCTGCAGGCAGCGAGTGGGGCCGGGCGCAGGCAGGGCTGCCTGCCTTGCTCTCACCTGGGTGTCTCAGGAGCCTCTCCTCACTCCCTTGCCTGTTCTGACCCTGCTCGTGCTACCCCGTGCAGGGGGCTCAGCGTGGTTACAAGATGCTTTCCCCCTCTCTAGGCACTCTGCTCCCAAAGCAGGGGCTGAGGGCAAGACTGCGCCTTGCTGCACGCCCAGGCTGGGTCAGGCACCGCACGCTGCCCTCGCCGGGGCTGGAGGGACGATCAGCACCCACAGCTATGGGGCTGGGGAGCACAGTGCAGGCTCTGAGCCCCGGGTGCAGGCAGCAGCACGGCCGAACCCCCCTTTCCAGAGCGAGCCTTATCCCAGCTCGCTGCAGGGAGCACGAGGGGACAGGCAGGGCCGGTGCCAGCACCGCGACGCCGAGCAGAGAGGGAAGAGCCGGAGCTGGCAGCAGGCCCCGCGCTGGTCCCGAGTCGCTAAGCTCAACACAGAAAGGACTTACAAAAACGAGGGGAGTCAACAAGAACGGGTGGAGGACGGAGCCCAATGAGGACCATGAGAGGAGGGGTGGAGAGGCACGGCCCGGCACAGGCGGCTCTCCTGCCCCGCTCCACCCCACGCCCCAGCGCACGCCCCGCTGCCAGCAGTACCTTCTGACGCCCGAGAAGACAAGGAAAGAGCCACAACGCTACAGATACTTAAACTGGCCGGAGAGAGGACGGGGGGCAGGACGCCGGTGCTGCTCTCCGCGTCCTCGGGGTCGGAGGAGTCGCCCACCCAGTCCAGGTCGACGGCGGAGATGTCCGAGTGGGTGCTGTAGTACATGCGGCTGCCGCTGCCGCAGGCGGCGCACAGGATGGGCCCGCGCAGGCAGTACTCCCTGAGCTCCGGCACCGTGGCCTCCTCCCTCTGATCCGCCTTCACAGCCACCATCTTCCCGTAGTGCCCCACGGCCACCACGCAGTCACAGCCAGCGTCTCCGAAGAGCTGCTCGTCCTCGGCGTCTTCGGCCGCCCTCCGCTCCGTCCTCAAGGCCCCGATGAAGACGATGGGCTCTTCCAAGTGATGGAGGATCTTCACCGGAGGGTCTTGGGTGGAAACGTCGTGGCAGCCGTCAGCGGGAGGCGAGGAGCTCAGGGCTTTCAGCGGCACGGAGCAGAGCTGTCCATCCGGGAAGCCGCACAGGATCATTGGAGACTCCAGCATGGCCACGTCGATCCCGAAGAGCAGGCTGAAGAGGGGCTCCTCCAGCACGAAGCCCCCCGAGCACCACAGCCCCTCCCCGGAGCCCAGGGTGCCTGGGGAGGACGCGCAGCACAGGACGGGCAGGAAGTGGGAGGGGGGCCCATCGCCCTCGTCGCCGGGTGGGGGGCCGGGGCAGAAGGCCACCTCGCTGACCTGCCGGTACGGGGGGTTGTCCTGCTCGGGGCCCTGCAGCTCGTGCAGCTTCATCCACCACTTGCCGTGAGCCTGGGACAAGGTGACGACGAAGTTGTTGAGCAGAGTGAACATGCACAGGCTGGAGTCTGGGAAGATGCAGGCGTCCGAATCCACAGGGAGAACGCCGGAAGGGCAATTGCTTTCTTGGCTGTCACCATCCGTCTGCTCCATTAACCTTCAAGCAAACAGAGAAGAGCTGGCAGCCAAGCCGTGGGGCGAAGCCAGCGCTTCCCTTGGCCGCCTCTCGCCCTGGCCCTCACAAACAGGCTCCCCGCAGCACAGCTTTTAGCATCTGCCACAAGAGCAGTGATCAGTGAGAGCCAGAGCTCCAAAACCACCCAGTGCCCGCGGGGGCATGGGCAGGGAGAGGGCAATTGCCCCATCCCAGCCATGAGAGGTGGCCCCAGGGCTGACAGCACCGCGGCTGAGAGCCACTCACCTGCCCTGCTGCTCCAGGGACACGCAGTAAATGCCGCTGTGGGCACAGAGGATGTAGAGCTGCCGGGGCTGGGGCAGCAGCTCCATGTGCCAGACCTGCTCGGGGCATCGGTACACAGCCTGGGTGGGAAAGCAGAGAGAAATGTCACCTTCCTGCAGCACCCATGGGGACGGGGCTGCTCCCTACCGCTGTGAGCACTGAGGCAGCCACGAGGCTGGCAGAGCCCTGGCAAAGAAACCCCCAACACAAAGCCAAATCACAGGCATTCTGTCCCGAAAACAAGTGATTTCCAGGGATAAATCTACCCCTGGGCAGCTCCGTGGCTCACGGACACAGCCGAGTGCTCCTGGGTGAGGGGCAGGGGGTCAGGGGGAGGGCTGTGGGCAAGGAGGGAGCTGTGAGGGGAAGGAAAGCAAGGCTCAGAAAGCCGGTCCAGGATCCACTTTCCCAGCAGGAGCACAGCGTGGGAGGCAAACCCTGATCTTACAGCACTGGCTTGCTTAGGAACGAGAATAGGAACAAAAAAAGGCAGCCGGGTACGACGAGCGCTGTTAGTCACAGCAGAGACAATAGCGAAAGCCTCTGGAGGGAGAAATGACAGACACGTCACTCGCCTCGCCGAGGAAGAAAGCCCTTCCCGCTGCAATGCACTGCTCGCCTTGCAGGCTGAGGAGGGGGGCAGAGACAGCAGCAACCCCCCCATTGCCCCAGAGCCAGGGGACGGGGTCCGGCTGCTGGAGAAGTCACCCCTGGACGGGGGCACCCTGATGGAGGGACCCCAGGAAGGGCTCTGCTGTGGGGATAGGGATGATGCCGGCGTCCTTCACCCTGCCCCGGGGGACACCGGCCCCGCAGGCCCCTCCAGCACGGGGGGGACACACCGCAGTGTGACCCCCCCCACCCCAGCGCTCACCTTCAGCACCTTCCCCTCCTGGTCGTAGACGTAGACGAACTCGCTGCCGTTGGAGAGGTAGATCTCGCTGTCGTGGCACAGCACGCGGGGCTTGCCGGCCGCCAGCCCCCCCGGCGGGCAGCAGAACCCGGCCAGGTAATCCACCCGCGGGCCCACGTGCGCCATGCTGCCGCCAGCCGCTCGCTGCCAGCCTAAGAGAGGGAAGGGGTCAGCCATGGGGCGGGGGGGGACGGACCCCGGATCCAAGGGGGTACCGGGGATGGGGCCCGGCACCACGGGGCGCGCGCTGAGCACGGGTACCCCATGGCCACTGACAGCACCGGGAGGGTCGGGACTCGGCCCCATAGAGCCCCATAGCCCTGCCTGAGCCCCACAGACCCGCCTGAACCCCATAGCCCCGCCTGAGCCCCACAGCCCCCCCTCACAGATCTACCTGAGCCCCACAGCCCCCCACACCACAGGCCCAGCCCCCCCCCCCCCCAGCATCAACACCACTCCCGCCCCATTTCCCATCCCAGACCCCCTCCCCAGCCCCACACCTCCGCACCCCCCTCCCTCATCCTCCTCATCCTCATCCTCCCCCCTCCCCATCGCCTCCCGGTGGGGCTGCGGGTACCGGGCGGGGGGCGCGGGCGGCTCCGCTTTACGGCTGCGCGGCTGCCGCCGCAATGGGCGGAGAGTTTACGACAAGCCGTAAAGCCGCGAGGGGCGGGCCCGGTACCGGGGGTGTGTAAGGAGAGGGGGGCACAGAGAGAGGCGAGGCAGGGCTGGCGGCAGCGGCTTTATTGAGGGGACCCCCCCCCCATGGCCCCGGGATGGACCCGCCCGGTGCCCGCTGCTATGGCGGGGCACGGGCAGGCCCACGGCGGCGCGGGGGGGCGGCTCCGGTGCCGCGGGCCCGGCTGAGCTGCTCCACGACGGCTTCGAGCTCGGCGAAGCGCGCCGAGAGCCGGCCCAGCTGCTCCTTCAGCTCCGTGAAGTCCCGGTACAGCCCGTCCAGCGCCCCCGACAGCGACCGGATCCTGCGCGGGCACAGCGGTGAGGACCCGGCCGGTCCCGTCCGCTGCCCCCCCGGCGCCGGTCCCCGCTCACCTCCCGTAGTCGGGCAGCACCGTGTGGTGGTCGAAGAGCAGCAGGTTCCGCAGCTGGGAGGTGATGGCGAACTTCCAGTTATCCAGCACCACCGTCAGGTTCGCGCAGCCCCTGCCCGGGATCCGCTCGGCTGCGGGGACCGGGGGACACGGGCTGGCTGCGGCAGGAGCCCCCGGCCCCATGGAGCCCCGCGCCCCCCCGCGCAGGGCGGGAGTCCCGGCCGTTACCGTCAGCTCCAGCGTCCTCCAGCCCGGCCGAGCCCAGAGCCGCGAGCAGCAGGAGCGGGATGAGCCCCGCCATGGCGCTGCCGGCGAACGGGAGGGACCCCGGGGCTGGGGCACGGGAGCCCCGCTCCTACCTCGGCGCTCGGCTCCCGCGGCTCTGGCTCCGTGCGGCTCCCGCCGGCCCTTTTGAAGGCGCGGGGCTGGCGCGGGGCCCGGCTCCGGTGCTGATTGAGAACAGAGCGCGGAGAGTCCGGTGCTGGGGCACCGCGGCCCCCCCCCTTCCCCCGGGGATCGGAGCGCAGGAGGCACGGCGCTGGCTCTCGGTTCAGGTGCTCTTTATTCAAGGTGACCCCGCGCCGGGTCAGGCCCCGCACACCAACACCCGCACACCCAGGGGAAAGCAAACCGGGGACCCTGCGCCGTGCCCGAGGCGGGGCTCGCGCTGTCCTGGTGCAGGATGGGGCCTCTCTGCTGTGAGCAGAGCACGGGGCAGCGCTGGAGCCGGCACCCCGGGGCGGGGGTAACTGAGGCCCAGACCCACAGCGCCAGGGCTGGGGGGCTCCAGCGAGAGGAGGGTCAAACCCTTGGGGCAATGCGAGCATCTGCCTGGCCCTGCTCGGGTCTGAAGGGGAGAGAAAGCCCCAGCACCGGGGGGGGGGGGGAAGAGCTCAGAAGGGACATGGGGGAAGGCACCACTTGTGGGGCGCAGCTCCCTCCCCCGGCCAAGGCCCGCGGGTGCCCCAAGTTCTGTGTCTGCCCCTGCCCAGCCTCGCTCAGAGGAGGGGACGAGCTGCTGCCCCAGAGAACAACACAGTGCTCCCTGCAGGGTGATGTGGCACCCAGAGGGAAGGGGCAGGATGTGGGGTGCACCCAGCCTGATGCCAGAGCATCTCCTGGCGCATGAGAATGTGTGCTACAGGAGCGGTGCCAAAACAAGGGCTGCCACATGTCCAGTGTCGAGGGGGAGCCCATCCTGCTCCGGCACAGGGCCGGGTCTGGCAGAGCTGCAGTCTGGCCCGGCCCTCGCCCTGGGCTGGTTTGTGTGGAAGCACCTGGGACCTGGGCACTCGCAGGAGCAGGGAAAGGGGAGCGAAGCTGCGGGCAGGGGGATGCCAAAGCCTCCCGATCACCTCCACCACGCAGGGAGGGTGCTTTGGGCAGCACCTGGGGGGTCCCCAAGCCCCCAGTGCTCACCCACAGCGGGCTGAGAGAAGGGCTGGGGGTGGTGGGGTGAAGGCTGAGGTTAAGCGTTGGTTACCCAGCATCAAGATAAAGCCAGGGCGCCCGCTCCTGCTACGGGGCTGCCCCTCACAGGGTTGGGAAGGTGGGAAATGCTGGAGCCTCCCCCCCGCACCGGCTCCGCACCCCGGGAAGCTGAAGGGAGGACAAGGGAGGGACAAGCACCACTGCTGCTGCTCTGGGGGTTGCTGTGTATTGGTTAGGTCCGCGGCAGGCTGCACATCTCGCAGTGGTCCGTGCCCGGCTGGTTCATGAAGGTGCAGTGCTGACAGGCCCACATGGCCGCTGCCGCCGCGTGCGTCGAGCCACCCATGGCCCCGTACTCCTGCAGTCCCGAGAGCGGGACCCCCACCGTGCCTGCGGGAGACAGAGGGAAGTGCAGGAGATGCTGCCCTCGCCCCAGGGCCAGCACCCTGGGGAAGCTTCAAGGTGCTGGCGCCCCAGAGCCCCTTCCCACTCGCTGCCTTCCTCCCTCCCAAGTCTCCAGCAGCCTCCAAGGTGGCTTGAGAGGAGCAAGGCCAAGGGACACAGGACCCCCATCCCCCCCCAGAGGGACCCCTTTTCTTACTGCAGAGCTGCTCGATGGTGGCCCACTGCTCTGATTTCTTCCAGGTCTGTGCCAGCTCCTCATTCTTGGTCCTCACAGCTTCCAGTAACAAGCTGATGCTGTCCTGGAAACCATAAGAGGGAAATCAAGCACTCCTGCAGGGCCCAGACTGGGGCTGTGATCAGGGAAGTGCCTCCTGCCCTCCACCAGCCACAGCAAGACACAACTGTGAGTCTGAGCTGCTTTAAAATGTCCTTTGGGTTGCCCTTGTGAGGTTCACAGGCAGGGAGCAAGATGCAGATTGTCCCTTCTGCTCCCCCAACACTCAGAAACACTCTCAAACCCAAACGCTTCCTTTGCCTCTCCTTAGAGGAGGTTATCACCAAACCAGGCTGCACTGCCCTGCGCAGGAGAGCATGTGGGTGCTGAGCCTGGCACCCAGGGGTGCAGACCCGCTGTGCTGCAGCACCTCAGCCCGATCTCCAGGCACCCAGGGTCAGCCCTGCTGCCCCACACATGTCCTCAAAGCCTCTGGCAAAGACATGGCCCTGTCCTCTGGCATCCAGCAGTGCAGATGTGGAGCAGGGGCCTGGGCCAAGCCCCGGTGCCCAGCCAAGCTGCGCAGCCAGGGACTCGTTGGCCTCACGGATCTGGGGGCTCTGATCCCATTACGGTTCCAACAGGAATTTCTGATTCTGAGCTCCTTGAACAAACATTCCCAGCTCCCGGTGCCGCAGCCAAGCTGGCTCTGGCCGGGCTGTGACCATGTTCACAACCACCCCTGCTCGCTGCTCTGAGCTCCTCTTGAGCCAGTCACGGCTTTGGCTTCACTTTTAAACCTTCTCCCAACAGCTCAGCTGGAAGGGGAGGCGTTGGGCCAGCAGCACACCCTGCCCTGCACCCACGGCTCGGTCACCTCCACGTGACAGCCCAGGAGGAGCTGAGGGCCCCGGTGACGCCGACACGAGCCGTTCCTGCCCGTTACGTACCCGCAGAGGCATGACCTCGTTTGTGACCAGGAAGAGGAGCAGATGGAAATCAGAAATGATGTCTAGGAAGATGGAGGAAGTATTCTGGGACAGATACGTGGCCAAGCTGTGGAAGTCCTGCAGAGAGGGACAGCAATAAAGAGAAGTCGCTTCTCCCCCCAGGGTGTCTTTATTTTCCTATACGGATTCCCTCTGACTCTCCCATCCATCCCCTCCTCCTTCTCTGCTCTTGAACCCTGGATGTCCTCAGCAAGAAGGACCAAAGCCAACCTCTCCCAAAGCCACAAGAGGCAGTGACCCCTTTCTCGTGATGACTCCTGGAGGAAGCCTCTGACACCTTTGGCACAGCCTCCTTAAAAAACGAGCTGTTGCTGCTTTAAAACAACTCAAGGTTTCTGTGTGCTGGCAACACCCAGAGAGCCTCGAGCCGTCCAGCAGCTGCCTCTGCTCAGCCCCATGGGCCTCTTAAAGGAAAAGGTCTCATAGAATCCCAGCCTGGTTTGGGTTGGAAGGGACCTTAAAGCTCCTGAAGCTCCAACCCCTGCCACAGGCAGGGACCCCTTCCATAGAGCAGCTTGCTCCAAGCCCCTGTGTCCAACCTGGCCTTGAGCACTGCCAGGGATGGGGCAGCCACAGCTTCTCTGGGCACTCTGTGCCTCAGCACCCTCCCAGGGAAGAGCTTCTGCCCAAGAGCTCATCTCAGTCTCCCCTCTGGCAGGTTAAAGCCATTCCCCTTACCCAGAAGCATTCCTTACCTGAGTTTCTCCCAGCACATCACGGTTCTCGATGGGGAATGGATTTTGAGAAATAGAAAATGTGTAGACTGGATCCTTGGGGAAAGTTGTAGTAATCTGTAAACCCAAGACAGGATGATCAGAGCGCTGGCAGGAGGAGAGGCAAGTGGGATACGGGAAGCTCCTGATAGCCAAGAGCAGCCAGGCTACATGTTAGAGCTCAGCCAGGAGACAGCAAGGGAACTGCAGCCAGGATCTTCTGATGGTTTCGAATGCTTAAAGTGAGATTCCCATCAGCACACTCTGTAGCTCCTGATCATCGTTTCTAATGGGGCTGGAGGGTGATGTACTGATCTCCCCTGTCACCCCTTGGTGTTCAGGTGACAACACTGGCCCCGGGGTAACCAGGGGTCCATGCTGCTCCATTTGGGGCTGGAATGGGTGCCAAGAAAACACCTTTGCACTTCACAGAAGTCACCCTGTGCTCTGGGTGCACAAACCCTGTGCTGAAGGGATGGGACCAGGGCAACACAACATTGCACCATGTTACTGAGCTCACAAGCCAGTGTTCAGAGCAGCTTCTGATGTTTAAGCCAGTCCTAATCCTGGGGGCTTTAAGGTTTGGTGGCATTTGCTGGGCTCTGTCAGCGAGGCCCTTTGCAAGCAACACCTGCCAGGGCAGCACTGGCTGCCCTAAAGCCTTTTTTCCCCTTTAAAGAGACAAACCACAACGTTTCAGAAGTGCAACTTCCCCGACTGCTCCTCCATGCACGTTCCATCCATCTCCTTTCATCTTAATTACACCCCAGGTACCCGGAAACAGATGCTCTTGCTACTGGAGCAATAAACTCGCCGCGGTGCTGCCGAGTGGCACAAAGAGCCCCTTGTTCCAGACACACCATTTCTGTGTCACATCCCAGTGCCAGCCCCAGTGACACAAGTGACCTGGGATGAAGGATGAGCCGCCGGCTTCCCACGGGACACTGCCTGTGCCAGGGGCAGCTGCACCCCACCAGTTGCTCCGGGTGGATTTACTCGCCATTGGCACCACCTCCAGCAATGTCATCTGTCATTCCCAATTATCTGCTTCCCTTCCACGGCCTCCCCTCGAGCCAAAGGGCAGAGCCGTGCCCCAGGGCCTGGCAGCGCTGGCTCAGGGGCAGGCAGAGCCCGGCTCCATCGGGAATTCCCTCCCCCAGGAACAGGCGTTTCTGTCCAACCAACCTGCTCTGCTGAGTCACTGAAGGGGATGGATTGTCAGAGACAGGACTGGAGCTTCCTCATTAGCTCCCCGTGAGGTGGTGCCCAGCACACGCACCCATGGGGCTGGCTGCTCCCCCCTGTGTGGCTATGTGCCAGCTGGGATAACACCAGGCAGTGTTTTCTCAGGAAGCAAGCGCGTTTCCTGGCACCACACAGACCCCAAGGAGCTCTGGAACCACCCCAGAGCACACCTCAGTGCTCGAAATGCCTGGCAGCAGAGGGGAAAGGAGAAAGGAGGAATATCTGTCGTATGAATCACCTCCAGTGCAAATTCAGAAGTGGGTTAAGAGCTTCCCTCCGCCCTGACCATCTCCTGCTGCAAGCAAACAAGTGCAAGGAATACTTACATCTATGATTAAGTACTCCACCGGGAGCGGGCGAGCCAGCTGTGTGATCTCGTTGCCAAACTTGTCTATGTCCTGGAAAATAAAGAGTCGTATTATTCCTCAGCATGGAAGTGAGGGCAACGGGATCCTGCCCCACAGACACCCACACAGGAGCCTGGGATCCTCGGCTTGGGCAGATCTAAGGGTACGGAGAGGAACCTGCTCCTATGGGGCTGGTGCTGCCCAACCACCTGCAGCTCCTGCGGGCTGGAGAGCTCTGGATCTCCGTAAGGAGGACATGAGCATGGTCACAACCCACGTGGCTCTGCTTGCCTCGGTTGTCAGCACCACGGAGGTGCCTGGCACCACCTCAGCACTGCAGATGCCACTTTAAGATGCAGGGTGTCTCAGGAGGAAGGGACAGCACCACTCAGCCAAGGCAAACCTGACTCTGCAGAACCGGTCGGGAGTCTCTCCCTTGGGAGGTGGAAACCCCGGCCCCCTCTCTCACACACAGCCCGAAGAACCAGCACATCCCACGGCACAAACTTGTTTTGCTCTGCCAGGCGCACTGAAAGTAAAGTTTAATTATGGAGAGGAACGGCCAGCATATGTTCATTAATCACGGGATGACAATTAGACGTGATTGATGTCAACCACGCCGAGTTCAAACACGGCTCCAGGAGTAAATTCATGAGAACTGACACTTTTCATTAAGGATTCTCTAAGAGGGGGTTTTATTCCCTACCTAAATCATCACTTAACATGTTATAAATCATTCACCGAGCCCCACATAAATCACACGCCCATAATTCCCAATCAAGGGCCTTACACTGAAGCCTGCATTCACTGCGCTCTCGGAAGCCCCGTGGCTGGAGGCAGCCCCCGACACCTCCGTGGAGGGCTGTGACCCCCCCCAAGCCGGGTTTGGAGCAGCATTCCCGGGCTGAGCCGCCCGCAGCCGACTCCCTCCTCCCTGGATCCACCGCTCCCCCGCTATCAGCACTGCTGCCTTACCTTGGTATTTACACAGCACAAGCATGCGGTGCGGCAGCTCTCCTGCTCCCGGTCCACCCTGAGCCAACCGAGCAGGCTCTGGCACGCTGCTCCCCTCCAGGCAGCATCCCCCCCCCCCTTTCCCAAACATCCCCGGTCCCCAGGAACCGTTCCCCTTGGTAACAATCTACCTCCCGGTCTTTGAAGCTCCTGTTTTAAAAGCGGCCCCGATAAGGATCTTTTTCCCCTTGAACATGACAGGTTGTTGGCCCTGTGGTGATGGCAGCTACGAGGCGGGTGGCTCGTGGCCTCAGATCTCCCTGCCTCTGACAGGAGCAGGAGGAGACGTGGAGCCTTCGCAGGGAGATCACAGGAGCTGAAAGCTAAACCTGCTCCTAGATCGCCGCGATAACCGCAGAGAGGCAGGAATCAAACCCAATCAGACCGAAGCGGCTTCCCAAACACAACCCTGCCCCGGCAAGAAGGAACCTGCAACAACTCACCCGTAATGAGCCCATCTGGAATTCGTTTTCAAATCTAATTAAGTTCTAATATGCAGAAACGTTTTCCCAGCACCTGTTCGCTTTAATCTCTGCCTCTGGGGATTTCCATGTTAAATGCCTTCTTCTGAATGTCACGCTGCTGAGTGAGGCCTCGAGACGTTAGCACCAAACTGGAACCTCAACCCCTCCAGTCCCTGCCCCTCCTCAGACAGAGCCCCCCTCAACGCCAGCACTTCTCCTCCAACCCCCGTAACACCATTTTATTAGGCAATTACGTTTTAAAGGCCTTAACAAACGTCAAGCTGGGAGAAAGACATCTTCATCCTGAACTCAGCAGTCACCAGGGCCCCAGCAGTGCCTCTTGGCATGTTATTGCTGAGACCCCCAAGCCATGAACGCCCAGAAGCAATGACTCCAAAGGGAGGCCAGGAAGAGGTTCACGAAGGCGCAAGTATTTGGTTCCTGGACAAAAATCAAGCAGCAAAGCCTGGAGGATCTGGACAATGAATCATCCTGAAGACAGGAGCAAGCTGGAGGTTGCATCAGGCGCTGCAAACAGAGCCTTGTGAACCACTGTTTGGAGGCAGGAGCTGCAAACGGAGGAGGTCAAACAGGGGGAAGATGGGATGCTCCCGCAGGGAATGCAGGATGCACTGCACACCCCTGCAGCTCCGGGATGGCTGCAGTGGGACAGGCTGCTGGGTGGCCTCAGGTTTGTGATCTGAGCAAAGAGCCTGGGTGGCTTCAGTCAAGAGGGAGGCTCTGGCTCCATATCCCAGGGCTGGATGGCTATTAGCATCCCACACCATCAGCATCCCACGCTGGACTCGCCCTGCTGAAGGCACCACGGAGCTGAGCAGCTCTCTGTCCTTCCTGTGCCTTCAGAAAGCCCAACCTCACTCTTCCCTCTGCTGATTCCAAGAGCTTTACCTGCCAGCCCTGCCCCTTTGCACACATCCAGCAGCTGACACAGAAATGAAGCAACTTTCGTAAGAGCAATAGGTCAGTGAGAGTTGAAACCCTTCTCAGGAGACTCCTCATGAGCTAATCAAGCATCCTCCTCCCCAGAGCAGCTGGGACATTTAAGGCTAAGGCGGCTTTTCCAGTCCAACACAAAGTGCTGGGAGGAGGCCAGGCAGGGGAAGTCCTTCACTGTCAGTGAACCCTCCCTGCAGCCTGGCTCTGGTGCCTTCCCTGCAAGAGGATTTCAGAGCAAACAGGAGGAAGCAACGTGTGCCCCGCTGGGGGCAGCCTGCCTCAGAGGTCCCTTTGCTCTAATAAAGGCAGTGCCCTGGCACAGGGCTCACCCAGGGCCAGATGGGACCACGCTTTGCTAGTTGAAAGCCAAGGCTCAGTGCTGTAAATGCACAAAGCCCACTCTGGTCCCTGCGAGGGCAAAGGGCTCTTTCACAACACTGGTGCCATTGTAAAGGGCTTTCGTCTTACACCATCCCAAGGAAACTCAGGGGGAATGTTAAGGCAGCTGTAGAATGCAATTCACTTCAAGGGTGACATCTCCATGTTTGCACTTAGCTGACACAAATACCTGTGATAAGAGACAAAAGCCAGGCCCCAAATCCAATTATCCAAGTGTTTCAAAGGGTCTGTAAAACGCAGCCAATCTCCTCAACTTCAGCTCTGAATAATCAACCCAGGGCTTGGAAGGTACCTTTAGTGAAACCAGAATCAATACCGTTAACTTCTAGAACCAGATGGACAAAGGAGACCACTCAAGGGTAGAAGACAGGGAATGGAAAATGCTCGTATGTAACATTCAGACAGGCTCTGCCTCATCCCGCTGAGAAACAGGGTGAAGTGGCCACTGCAGCACCGTTGTCTTCACTCACAGAGAGCAGTTCCTGTGACCTGTGTGTCTGTGTCTTGACAGGAGCGACTCCTTCACGAGTTTCATTGCACTGAACTCACTGCGATGCCTTGTGCCGGTTGTGCAACGTTCAGATTGGAGACAGCGCTGCGCAGTGATGCTGCACAGACAACCCGGGGGCCAGGGGGATGGGTTCTTCCTTCTGGCTAATCTTACCTGGGAGGGAACCTCAGAGCAAAGGAACTTGTACTCACGGTCCCCAAAGCCCTCAGTGTTCACGCTGGAGCAGAACTCCAGCCCTCCCGAGCCAGGAAAGCAGCGGCTGCATGCAGAAAGCACATACTGCCGGTTCCACGGGGGTGGTTCCTCCAAGCAGCAGGGCCAGTGGCCAACATAAAGAGAATGGTAAAGAAATACAGGAATCATAAGGGTAGAGCCTCAGGAAGAACACAACGCCTCGCCTCCCGAGGCAGGACAGCAGCGGTGCCATCAGCTCTCCTCTTTCCATGGAAGAACAGCCCATCACACACGAGGTGAGTCACGTTCAGGCAGGAGCAGCTGCAGCCCCACAGGACGTGGTAGCTCCCACTCCACAGACACAAAACAAGGCTCAAGCCATGGAAAAGCAGCTCTCTGACCATGGACACCGCTTCAGCCGTGCAGGGAAGTCCCGAGGCTGCAGCTCCTGCCTGCAGCACGGGCCCTCACCCCCTCCTGTGCCTGCAGCAATGCCAATCCAAGCGCATCTCTAACAGTCATCACTGAAATAACAACACCTACTGCAGAGGCATGAGACATCTTTGAGCATGATCAAAGCACAGTTGCTGGCTTACCCCTCACTAGAGATGCAGCCAGCAGCACCTCTTCCTATTCCTATTTGCAAAGCTGAAGCTGAATCTGCTGTGCTGCCTTGCTGCAGACAGATAGGAGGGTTCAGAAGATCTCACATCTGGATGCACAGTTGCTCTATAAATATACCCACACTACACAAAACACTGCCCTTCTGGTTCTCATCCAGTAGCTCCTTTCATCCTAAAGGGCTTTCCAAATGAATACTTGCACATTACACAGAAATATATGTATGGACTTTTCTCTTTAGCGGCGATAGCTTCTGAGCGCAAGACAAAACACAGCAACTACTCCAAAGTGCAGCTTTCAGCCCAAAGCTATTTGGGTGGCCAGCACAGAGGGGACCTCCCCAGTGAGGGCTGGGGGCTCAGCTCCTGCAGTTTCAGCAGGGAAACAGGGAGCAGGGTGCTGGACCTTGAACCAGCTGCTCCCTGCTGCGAGGCCAAGCGCTGGTTTCCTGCTCCTCACACTGTACTTGACCAAGGCTTTGACACCATCGCTGTCACCAGCCCAGTAACTATGAGGTAGTGTCTCTGACCTCAAGCCTTGCACATTCAATGAGACCCCAAAGGTTTTCCACGCCAGCAGTGACTAAGCTTGCCGTTGATTTAAGAACATTCCAAGAAAATTAAGAGATCCTCCAGCCAAACACGTTTAAGGCTGAAGGACAAGTCCACCCGCCGGAGCAGCCCTCAGCACGAAAGAGGCAATTACGGATACGAGTTATAAAACACATGAAAGAAGCTGCAGCCCGACCCAGCCAATGTGTGGTGCATGGAAATTTCCACACAAGGCTGCAGCCATCAGCTCCCATGCTGTTTATCTCCCAGATTCCGACTGGGAGTGAAGACCGTATGGGAACACCCACTGCTCCCAGCACCCCGGGTGGCCCACATGTGGGACACAGACTACGGGACCTCCTGCAAGGCTGCGCCCCGAGTGTGGCACAGTGTGGGCTCCTCCGAGCGGGACCAGAGCACGCCAGGAGTGATCTCATCCTCACATCCAGGGCCAACCCTTGCACAACCGAGCTCTGCTGCATCTGAATCGGACCTGGCTTATCAGCTCCTGAGAGCTGCCTGTGCGTGAAGGGAAGAGGCATGGATTCCATCCACCTTTCCTCTCCAGCACTGGGATTAGCCAAGGGGTGTTCCTCTTCATTAGGCAAGCCAACAGTTGGCTGTTAAGGGGTGGAATGGAGTCTCCCAAGCTAATTCACCCAGGCCAGCGTTTCAGATTCAGGGCACACAAGAGCATTTTGACCAGCTCTGTTTCTGTTGCTGGTGCACAACAGGCTCATTTCAGTCACCCCAAGTGAGGGCAGCTTTGCTTATCCCATGCTCCTTCATGGCCAGCTTTAATACAGGCACCAGGAGCACGCTGTGAATATCACAGAGACAAGGAGGAGATAACCAGCTCGGGTGATGGATGGCTAATTAGCTGGCAAACAGCACCATTAATTAATTCCTCTGTCCCTGCTCACAGGGCACCAGCATACACGCGTTTGAGAAGCGGTGCCATTAGCCTCCGCAGAGCTCCTGTCCCCAAGTTTCTAACTCGGCCCTGCAGATACAGGGGGCCTGAAGATCCCCAGGAACAACTGTCAGGGGAATAATGACAGTCCATTCATCACTAGCTGCTCTGAAAAGCACAGCACACAGGTTACCAGCAGTGCTCCTGCAGGCCACATCATGAAGGAGTGTTCTGGATCCACTCTGGGGGTGTGGATCCTCCACTGCTCCTCAGGACCAGTTTATGGAGCTTAGTCTGACCCAAGAACTGGAGCACTGGCAGCCACCCCAGCAAGCACTAGAGAGGAAAGCTGGGGCACAACCCTTGCTCTGACAGCCTTTGCACCTTCCTTCTGTCCCAGAGAAGCACGCACAAGGCTGGCCCTCCTCTTCCTGCATCTATTTTTTGCTGCATCTGCTGCCCAGTTGGTGCCTGTAAGCGTGTTACACACGAGCAAATCCCTGGCAGTGCAAAGGGAACCCACTGCTCCATTCCTGCGAGCAGACATCATATGGCAGTGCAGTGGAGGAAGCCGAACTCAGCTGGGGATTAAAATCAACAGAGAGGCATGGCAAATACTGCCAACACGTATAGAGGGGAGGTGAATTTAGAGCACTTGCTATGGGCTCGTGGTGGATCACTGCAGACCTCATTTAGAAGCTGGATGGCCAATGGCTACTGCTGGGCTGGGAACCATAACGGCACGTTTACGAGGGGGAAGTGGAGCTTATGCAATTACTCTGCAGACATGTGGTGAACGGTTACTACTGAAAATAGTTCAGACCTCAAAGACATCCTTTCCTGAGCTGGCCATACTGATTTCCATACTGATTTCCAGACACACAGCAGAGCTGGTTCTGCAGCTCCCCCCCTGCCCCAGGCACGCAGCTCTTACCTTATAGAACACATCGGGCACATACTGCTCGCTGCTGGACTCCTTGGCGTAGCCCAGCTCCGGTGCGTCTCGGCAGGGCAGCAAGCACTCATCCCGAACCAGAGCCATGCATTGATTCGAGACCTGGTACCCCTCGAAGTGGACCTGGTTGTCGGGACCACCTGGAAGAGAAGAAGCTGCTTAAAAATCCCACCCAGGAGTGATTTGTCCAGTGTTAACTCTGTGAGGCACAACCCCAGGAGCAACACTAAACACCGGGCTGTTGCTAACAGCAAAGAACGATGAGATGAAGCCCCTGGTGCTGCTGCATGGAAGGATTTCTAGGCAAGAATCCCCTCTAAGCTCTACATTTATTAACACCCATTTTCACAGCCAGCCTAACAGGAAAGACCCCTGCAGGGACAGCAAGAGCACTCTGCCAGGACCTTAAAGGTGAAGCTGCCCTTTCGGAAGGCTCCGGATAGCAACACCCTCCCATTGCCCTGTGGGTATCTCCTCCGTCTCACAACAGAAACCAGACACACAGCTCCTAGGAGCCTGTTTCATTTCCAAGGAGCTGTGAGCCGCAGATTGAGGGTTGGTCACCTAAGAGATGTCAGGGATAAGAAGAAAAAGTGTTTTCTCAGCCTGTAATGGATGGCTCGGTGGAAATCTGACATGGAAAGTGGAAATTAAGCCCCTGGCTCACTGATAGATCACATGCTTGGCGCTTTAATTTGGGTAATGTAAGCAACATCAGGTCATATGTCAGTAGAATACAACTGGAAAGAGAAGATACAGACAGATGGTAGGAAAACATTACTATTTCCAAACCTAGGGAATTCAGAAGGGGATAGGAATTAATCCATGTCGAGGATTTAAAGGCAAAGTTGATGCAAACTATCCAAATGTATTTATACGGCACGAAACGAAGGAATCAAGTGTTTAAATAGAAACCTGATGGGCTGATTGAACAGAAGAGAATGAGATTATCTGGAACAGAAAAGAGGAAATATTCATTTTCTACCCTTTGATCTCCAACCTCAATCACTCTCTGCTCCAGAACAAACACTCCTAGAAATGAAACATAGACCCAGGCCCAGGCAAGGGCTGAACAAAGCTGGCCGTTGGCTTCTCAGTAAAACACCTTGTTTAAACCCAGAAATAAGTAACACAAAGGGTGAGTGAGATACACATCTCTCTGTAATGAAAGATGGATGCGCTGAGCAGTCTGGAATGCAGGGGCAGCTGTCTGACTGCACGGGCCTCAACTCAAAGGGAGAGCTTTTCACTGGAAAAGGCTCTGGGAACACTTACAAAACCCGGGCTTGGAGCAGGCAATAGAACATCACACTTTCAGTTTTTACACTGGATGCTGTTTGGAAGCCGTGAGGTTTGGGGTTATTGCGTTAAACAGACCCAGAACCCAGCGTATCTGCTCCAGGGGAGTTTTAACTGAACGCATGTGTCACCCCATGGCAGACTGAACCTCGAACACGACAACACCCAGCACACACCATCATCTCCCCTCGCGGCCCGGGCAGTGCAGAGCATTCCCCGGTGCCTCTGGAGGCTTGCTGTGAAATGGCTAATAGCAGAGGAGACAAAGCAAAGCAGGTTTTGCAGCTTCTCTCTTTTATTCAGGCAAACATGAAATGTTTCCATGCGCAGAAGAGCGCAGCATCCTATGTAAGGGCTTCCCTGACAGCAACACAAGGGAGATAAAGGTCCCTCCTTCATGCTGAACCAGCCAGAGTTAACTCTCAGGCTCTGCATTCCCCTGGTTCTGCACTGCTGTTTTCAGGCAACAGCACTTGGAGCTTAAAGTTTCAAAGCAGAGAAGTGAGGAACAGTTATTCCCCTGGCTGCAGGCAAAAAATGCTTTCTGGATCAGACGTGGATGATCCAAGTCTGACCCTCAATTAAGTTTCCTGCAGGGGACAGGGTAAATGATTGTACAGAAGATAGCAGAAGGAATGAAGAAGTGTTTTACTTGCTAGAGCAAAGCAAAGCCCTTGTTAAACAGGACAGATGGGGACCGGGATGTCTGGTTCCTCCTGGCAGAGCTGTATATTCTTCTATTAACAAGAGATAATTCATGTGTAACCTGGAGAGCTGGGGCAAGCCCAGGCCAGTGAATACCTGTAGCCACCACTGTGACAAACTTGGATCCAAAATGACCATCTGGAGAAAGGCGACAGATGTTGGGCTGCTGGTTCTGAAAGTTCCCAGCTGTGATGCACTCCTCTGCACTTAGATAATACGTGTCCTGAGGGAAGAGCAGCAATATCAATACCAAGGACAACGCGGTGGAGCCCAGGCCCGTTTCCCTGGTCTGCAGCCAAAGGAAACTACCAACACCCCCAGAAAACATGCTTGCATAGAAAGCTGCTGCAGAAGCTGGGGAAAGCATGCGACGTGTCAGCTCCCCAGCCCTGAGCCTGGCTCCTGCCAGAGGGACTGCCCCACCTGTGCTTCCCCCCACCTCTGCACACCTTTGCTTTTCCTTTTAACAGGGTTTCATTTTCCAGATGGGGACGTCATTGATTTAGAACGACAGGAAGCTGAGAAGGTCCAAGTTTGAGCTATATATATCTCACAAAGCCCAGCCCAGAGGAACATCCTCTGACCGAGCCACTTTGGCTCAGCTTGCACCTCAAACCATCCCAATCATAGAATCATCTTTGAATCCCAGACTGGCTTGGGTTGGAAGGGACGTGAAAGCTCATCCAAAGGTTCTTAAACCAGGAGCACCATTTCTTAAAGCAGAGTGGCTGGAGGCAGCTTTGCATTCTAGATAAACAGCTTCAACCCCCTAGCAGTGCTCTTCAAGCTCCTTTTCCTCCAGAAGCTTCTGAAAAACCAACCCCATTTCACAAGGACTCTATTCCCAGCACCACCTCCAGCCCTGCTCAGCACCCTGCTGGGCACAGCCAGCATTTAGCCATTACCACCCCTCAGCACCAGCAGCTCTCATTAGCTGCACACTTGAGCCTCACCTTGTTTCTGCTGTATCGAACAGTCCCTTTCCGTGTGTCTTCAGACACCAGATCAGTAAATATCCAGCCAACCTATAAGGAGCATTACAAGGAAAGTTGCTTTAAGGAAAAAAAAAAAAAACAACCCAAACCAGAAGAGAGCTTATACATTTTCTCCTAGCAGGACAAGATGTTCTTGGCTCCTTGCACGGCCCTGCTGTAGCTGCCTGAAGGAAATGGCTCTCCCAGCTGTGCTGGGCTCATTTGAATCCCATTTCCAGGAGCAGCATGCCAGCTGGCCGGCCGGGGGCACCTGCAGCTTTATGTTTCACTATGGAATATTTTTGCATGGAAAGATCTGGAGGCTGCAAGAGGCCTCTCAGCCGCTACCTCCTCCCACCCACAGCAAAAAAGCATTTCCTATTGAGCGCGGAGCGGGAGCGCCAGCAGATGACAAAGCAGCTCACATGATCTCATTTGGAAGCTCAGTCCCTAGTGAAGATAAAGCTCAAATGTTCCCGCTGGAGTATGATTCATTCCAAACCGGCCTGCTCCGATCCAAAAACCACATTCCTGCTTTCTGCATTGTTTGCACCTAGGAGGATGGATGTGTACACACACACCGCTGCGTGAACCCTTCGCACACGTGCTTGGAGCCGGCTCTGATCAGCCCCCTCCTGACCATTAACCCTTCAGAGGGAGAACTGCTGGGGCAGATCCCAGCCAGCTCAAACCCCACAGCCAGCACTCAGGTACCTGTTAAGTGATACTGCTTAAAAATACCCGAGTGAGAAGCAGAGGAAAAGCACGGAAATAAATAACACACACAGGAGCTCTGCTTCAGACGCTGGCAAAAGGCTGCAGATCTTATCGTGGAGAACAAAAGACCTCACCACAGCTGTTTATAGTCTGCTGTACCGAGGCTTTTCTGCTTTGTGTTTTCTTTAGCAAGCCAAATCTTGTTTGTGTACATCTCATTCCTGGCATTCGTGCGATACCAAAACATTTCCCAAACAGGAAAATAATCAGGACAGGTCTGAGAGATGTCAGCAATCCCCTGGATCCCACCAGCCATACGCCTGGGTTGGGTGGCTGGTGGGGAAGAGAGGGCTGAGGCTCAGCTGCTGGGGGACCTGCACCCCTAAACGACACACAGATTGCCTGCATCAGCAGCATCAGGAGAACAGGACCCCACAGAGGAGAATAAAACACACGCAAGAGCCTCTGCTCTGGAAACTGAGCACAGATTGTGTCAAAAGGAAGAAACTCAGAAAGCAACTCCAGCTGCATCTGCACCAAATTAGCACTCACTGGGGAGATGCTACCAGGAACGGCCCCTATCTGAGGGGAAATAAAGGGAAAAATGGTGTTTCTGCTTCTTTGCTACTCCCTTTGATGTCGCTCATGACAGAGGACTGCTGACTTCAGCTGCACAGCCTGGATAGATGCTTGTGCTCAGGAAAATGCTCTTGGTGTGTTTTCCATACCTAAAAGCCTAAGAACTACCAACACAAACTACATTTCAGATACATCCAACATTTTGATTAACCCCCTGGGGCTGAAGGGAACCACCAAGGACTTTCTTCACTGCCACACCAAGACACACGAGATCCAACATCATCCAAACCTTTCTCAGCCCAAGCTTTGCCGCGATCTCATCCACAACCTCAGCTTTGGGATCTTCCAGGATCTCCAGGCTGTTCTGGGTGCCAATCTGCAGCAGAGAAAAACATGCTGCTGAGACAGGACAGGAGAAAACATAACACACTTGGCCACAGTCAGGAGTGAGACAGAGAAGGGAAGCAGAGGTCAAGGTTTCCCCTCCGACGTTACCACTGACCAGTTCCACCCCAGGGACCTCCTCTCCTACAGGCCCATCCCACCGGAGCTCTTCGGCTGTGTTTTCAGCCTGTGTCAGGGTTTATGAATGAAAGACTGAGCGTTCACAAACAGGGCACTGCTGTTTCGGAGCACTTTGGAAAATGCAAGAGATTAAATCATTTTCCAAAGCTCTGTGTTCCACTGCCAGTTTCGCTGCTGCTTCATTTGTCTGCATCTCTGAGCAGCAGAGAGGCAGGAATGTGGTGAATCCAAGAGCCCAGCACAGGCTTTCCCCTCGTGCTCTGGAAAACACAACCCCATCTGGGTGTGTTTCAGAGGCAAGCTCTTGTGTGAGGAGATGCCGTGTCAAGAAGCACAGCAGGGACTGCTTGCCAGGACAGCAAAAGCTTCCTTGCTCTTACCGTGCACAACCGAAAGCACATGAACTTCCAAAGCAGGAGCTTAACAGTGATCCTGAAACAACAGAAAGCCTGGCTCTGCTCGTATGTAGGGGTGTGTAGTGATAGGAAAAGGAGGAATGGCTTTAAACTGCCCGAGGGCAGACTGAGATGAGCTCTTAGGCAGAAGCTCTTCCCTGGGAGGGTGCTGAGGCGCTGGCACAGGGTGCCCAGAGAAGCTGTGGCTGCCCCATCCCTGGCAGTGCTCAAGGCCAGGTTGGACACAGGGGCTTGGAGCAAGCTGCTCTAGTGGAAGGTGTCCCTGCCCATGGCAGGGGTTGGAGCTGGAGGAGCTTTAAGGTCCCTTCTAACCCAAACCATTCCATGATTCTACATGTTATCCATATTGGAAAGAAAGGAAGAACTTATATAAAAACTTTCAATTCTGCTCTCACACACACTCCTCAAGAGCCACTTGCTCTTTTTCCACTGATAAATCTGTTGCATTTTATTCTAACAGCCCTGCAGAAACCATCAAGGGGAAGAAAACATCCAACCCACTGCAGCACATTTGTACGCAGCGCCTGCACTTAGAGAAGTGACTTTGATCAGCACCGAAGAGCCAGAAGGCAAACCCTACTGCAAGCTGAGCCTTGGGTCGGGGGCAAAGTGGCTATTTGCCTTTGCCATCTCCATTTTCAGCTCTCTGACACCACACTCAGCCTTTGGGCTCCTGGGAGGCCAGACTCTCCGTGTGGAGCCGTGCACCATCTAGTGGGGACTCGGCTGCTCTGAGGCATCAAATCTCCTCCTCAGCCTCTCCATAACAGAGCGGAATGCATTTTTGTCTAATTAAACTGCTTCAAGTTTCCCAAAGAGCTCATAAGGATTTGGTTTTTTCCCAGTAGAGACTTTGTTTTCAAGCTGCTGTGTATCACAGCCTTGGAAATCCAGTAATCAAGGAAATCTGAGAGGTGAAATCCACTGCTCAGAAGTCACCCTCAGCTTTAAATCATCTGAACCCAAAGTAATGTAAAAGAAAGTGTACAACTAACAAAAAGCACATCTGGGTTTTAAAATTCTTCCAGTGGCAATAACTGACAGGGACATTAAAGACATAAATCACATCACCTTTATCATGGGACTCCTGCTCATGGAGCTGCAGCTGGAAATACAGCAGGAAGTTTCCCCAGCACAGTGTTTCTGTTCTCCCTGCTTATCTTTATGAGTGAAGATTGACTCCACGGGGCCCAGGTTTTACCTGTGGGGGTTCATAGATGGCAGCAACCTCGGCCCGGATGCCCAGGGGGATGTCTTTGTGCTCTGTGTACCGGCCATAGAGGTACCCGAGGTGTTGGTTTCCTGTCTTCCGCCAGAAGTCGAGGAAGCGATCTGCAATTGTGTGGTTCTCAAACATGATGTTGTCAACATGCCTGTATTTCTGTTTGACAAAGTTCAAGCGTCAGGCCATCCTACCACCGCAACCTGCCCACTGCCCAGGACACACACCACCCCTCTGCAGCCTGCCCTGTCCCAAGAAAGGGAGCTCACCCTCTCCTGCTGCTGCAGACTTCCCCTTCGGCACCACTGCCCTGCCCAGCAAGCAGAACCCGCCGTGGGACGGAGTGTGGGGCAGCACTGAGCACCCGCTGAGCTTGGCTTCTTTTCTAGGGCCCTTTGTAACTAAACCCAGGCACTGATATTTAAGAGGAAGCACGGAAAAGCAGTGGGTGGCCTTTTGAATCCCACGAGGAAAGAGCAGGGATTCATCGTTAGCACAGGCGTCCTCCACGTCTAGAGGAAACTGCTGATCCAGACACATTCTGGAGTCCTTTTCTGCAAGGACTAAAGACCTTAACAGCCATTCCCCAGCACCTGCCAATACTCAAGGGCTTCTCGCTCCAAGCTGGCTGCTCTTGAAGTCACCTCTCCCAGATCAAAAGCCAAGCCCCTTCTCTGCTTTAGGCACAAGGCTCCTGCGAGCTGCATCTCACCTGTCTATTGAGAGTGATGGCGCTTGGCTGGCACTTTGTGCAGATGCCTTCTGGCCACGGAGGGTGCCCTTCACAGCCTGACTTGATCTTACAGCTGATGTTCTCCAGGGCAACAAATTTCCCCCTGCAAGGAGGGAGAGAGGAGGCTGCTGTTACCACAGAAATGCTTTTGGGTCTCAAAAAACCCAAGTGGATAGAAATAAAGAGGATGCAGGGTAATGGGAAACGGGGCGGCAGCAATGCCTTGCATCTCCAGAGGATCTCAAAGCACCCTGCAAACTCCCACTGGGAGGGATTCCTGAGTAACCTCTGCTGCCCACTTAGTGTGGGAGGTCGAGAGGCTGCTGTGTGGTCCCCAACTCAGCTCTTAAGCAGATATTCCAGCAAGAGCAGAGATATAAAACTCATGGGACCCTGCTTAAATAATTCATGCAGCGCAGGGGAAGTAATAGATTATACCACTAGGGCAAATTAGAGCTCCTTTCATGTGCAGAAGGCTTCCTGCAAAGGGAAGTTCCCTTCAAATGGCTTGAGCTGCATCTCACAAAGCCATTAGAAAAATCCCAGCGGCATTTAGGAAGAGAAGGTTACACCTCTGTGTAACTCATCTAGGGGAGCTGCACTTCAGCACACAGGGGCTCCCTGCCAGTCCTGAAAGGACTTTAGATCCTTTGCCGTGCTTTTGGTGCTCCCTCTCTGCTCAGCACTCCCTGGCCTGTGTCACCACAGCGTTCTCCACCCCACAGAGGGGTAGGACACATCCTCCAGTTAGTGGGTGATGAACTACAGCACCACGACAGGCAAAGGTTTAACCAAGGACACACAGAGCATGGGACAGAGCAGAATCAGGCCCTGAGGAGTATCAGGCTCATCCTTCTGTCCTATTCACGTCTGTAGGTAAGGAAAGCCGTTGATGAATCAAAGCTCCCCAGGCCCACCACAGTGTCAGTGCCTCTCTGTGAGGTTTGAGACCCAGGCTTGGAATCATTACGGAATCTCTTTCTTTCCATCTGGCTTCCTCCCCCATCAGCAGCGTTTCCTGGAAGCAATTACACTGCCACAGCAAGAAAGAAAAGAAAAATACGTTTGTTTTCCTGCTTTTCTTCCCCTTTTCTTTTCAATGTGCTGTTTTCTCCTCAGTTTGCCATTCCCACAGCTGTATCCAACACTGCTCCGGTGAGATGTGTCTGTGCTTGCAGTTGTATTTTAAAAGGAAAAGAAGCTACAACAAGATTCCCTCAAAGCCAGAGATTTTCTTACTTGTCTGCCCCTCCGGTCAGCTTCCTGATGTAGGCATGGAACGACATGTGCTTCACAGGAGGTTCCAGATGGTTCAAATAATCCTCATCAAAAGGCTGCCAAAAACACCACACAAAGCAAAGGCAGGTCAGACACCTGTCTGCTAACACATTGAGCACTGAACAAATGGATGTTCTAGAGTCAACCCCTCTGCCTCTCAATGTGGAAACTATCAAGGAAGCTTAGGCTCATTTTCCAGGCAGCTACTACTGAGATACAAACAGTGGGGCTTTACAACAGCGAGTTTTAGTATCACCTCCTACTTTTAGAACAGATTGGCTCCACAAATCACAATGAGCCTCAAAGGCAAAAGGCTTTTTCCCTTTCAATATCTAACAACAAACAAAGAGCCCAGCTGCTCAAACAGGGCCTAAGAACTTCCAGAGCACCCGGCGGGGGAACAGCCATCCTGGCTTGAGGGCTCTCTGCTTCGTGCCATAAATCACACAGCACATTTGTAGGCGTTGCTAAAGCTGCCTTCAACGTGGTTGAACTGGGAAGTCCTGGGATCCATGAGTGGGGATGTAACAAGCAGATCCAGGCAGGAGACAAGAGGGAGGAAAACCGGAGCTTTTCTAAAGGCCTTTCTGCTAAACTCATCACTGCAGAGAAGCAGAGCATGAACCAGAATGAACTCAGGGTCAGGACGGCCTAGAGCTTTAGTGAGCCTGGATGTGAGCCAGCACCTCTGAGAGAGCACAGCAGGATCCTGACCCAGAGCTGCCACCCCTGCGTGGGCAGTGCTCCGAGGAAAAGCCTCCATCCTGGAGGAAGCTGAATGCAAGAGGACGTGCTTTTGTCTGACTTCCTAGGGCACCTTCCCGGGGCTCTTACCTCCAGTGGTACACAATGCACACACTTCCCCAAGGGGCCATGGCGACACCTTTGCAAGGAGAAAGAGAAGCAGCGTTAGATCTCATTTAACCATGGCAAATCAGACTGGTTTGCTGTGTAACATCTACACAGACACAGAGCTCTGAGCCCCTAAGCACTCGGGAACATCACACAGGGGTCACCACGAGATTAAAGGTTTGCTCTGCGAGCCCCAGGTCGAGAGGAAGCCCTGCTCATGCCTGTGCTCTGCTCTCTGCAGAGCCACGTGAAGCCCTGTCAGATCACAGCTTCTCAAGTTTTACAGCCCCGCACTGGGGCTGCTTTTCAATTCAAAGAATTCCAAACCTACGTCACGGGCTTGGCCCGGGTGGCTTTAACAAAGAGACAACCGAAACGTTCAGCCTTTATCAGGCCCCAGAGGCTGGTGTGGAACAAACAGGGCAGCATGTGTTTATCGGGCAGATAAAGACCTGCTGGGGGAAGTTATAAAGCAGAGGGGAAAACATCTCCTTTTGAGGTGATTGCTTTAAACCAACCCCAAACCAATAAACCCTCCCCCCCTCTGCTTTAGGTCAGAGCTGGTTTCAAAGGAAGCCTCTGGAGAGGAGCACGGTGCTTGTAAAGACAAAATGGATGAGGTCCAGTTGCAGCATTGCTTTTAACAAAGTATTGTGGCAGATAATGTACATAAAGGACCTCTAAAGGCTGCTAATGCACTCAGCTGAGCGCCAGCATCCCTTCATGTTTAGATTGATATGCACTCCCAAATACAGGAACAAGCCCAGACACACTCTTTTTATCATAAATATCCACCACTGTGCTCTGGCTCCCTGCTAAGAACAACACCTTCATTTATTGTGCTGAAAAATGTGGTCAAGTTAAAGGCAGGTTTTGTGCCATGGAGTGCTGGGGTTTTGTCTTGATTGTTTCAATAATGTGACACTTCCCTCATCTATCATCAGCCTCAAAAGGCTCCATGGGATTTGCCACGTAAAGGCTACCTCTCTCCCGAGTTCCTTGCTGCTGCAGCACTAAAGATAAACCAGATGGAAGACAACACCACGGGAAGGGAGAGCTCTTCTGGTACAGAAAGAATTCCTGCTTGCCTTTAAAACCTTCACTCGAGCCCTTTCAGAAGTTACCCTGCAGGGGGGGTCCAGCCCCAAGCCCACACCAGAATAAGACATCAAGCCAGCACCCAGGGACGTTATTAAAGCAGTAAAACCCAGCTCTGCAGACAGAGGACACTGTAGCAGCATCAGTGCAGATTTAGGCTGGTATTAACTCCCACTGTGTTCTTACTTCTACAAAACCCACAAGCTGCTCTGTTTACCCAAGCCTCTTGCAGCTCAGAGCCCTGGCAAAGCCAGGCTGTGTTGTTTTGCTGCGAGCAAAATGGATTCTCTGGTTCCACGCAAAGGTTAGAAAGGCACGTGATGGAAAGGAAGCCAAAAACTAAGCAGGCAGAGACCCAAGTCTCACTTCCACATCTTTACCATTGGATACTTCCACTCATTCCCTTTCCTTCTGTGTTTTTCCTTTATCAGGAGTGGCTGGATCTGAAGATCCTGTGCTCCTGCTTGGGACGTCAGGTGCCTCACAACAGTGAGTGTGGCTGTGTTGCTTCTGCCCAAGCAGGAGGAGACTGCAGTGACCAGAAAAGGCAACGCTGCCCAGGTCCCTGCTCTGACAGAGGATTTAGGAAGCAAATCTGACCTTGATGCACACTCAGCACCGGGTGTGAGCTGCATATTGAGACCATATGGGACAGAAGCTGCTGCGGACAGCAGGCCCCTGCTTCCTAAGCTATATACCACACACAGAGCACAGCCTCCTGTTAACTACACAGCACTGGCTGCTGGGACGTCCCAGGAAGGACTCAAAGGATTCATTTTAATCCAGAGAACTCCAATGTTTTAGGACCACAAACCATATGATCCCAAGTCCCATAGCAGGGGCCACCTTGACCAGAACAATGGGTGCTCTAAATGAGTCCTTCCTTGCAAAGACCCTGGGATTTTGGTATCTGCTTCCTTCCTTCACCAGAGCTTGATTTAACCTCCCAGGACAATGACAAGGGCTGTTTTCCCTTGTGAACATTCCAAAGGCAGCGGTGCAGGGGCAGGTCCTGTACTACATTTCCTGGCTGCTAACTACAAGCTCTGGTGAGGCCCAGATGCATCAGCAGAAGCAAATTCGAGCCGTACTCACAGCTGCTGGTCTCGGTTCCGGTAAATCTTGCCATCCTGTTTGATCAGATACTGGTCAATCTCATCTTCCACCACCTGAGGGGCCCCCACAGGCCGCAAGCTTTGGGAGACAGAGGTGTCCATGGTCTCTGAGGAGGAGCCAGCCGGGCTCGAGGGGTAGAGGAACAGCATATCACCATGCCTGTAGGTGTGGGAAACAACACATGGGCATCAGGAGATGCTTCTGGGTAGCAAACCTCCCAGACCATAGAGAGCACGTAATTTATCACAAACTGTATCACAGAATCACATATGATAACATATAAACTAATATAGACTAATAAACACATATAAACTGATCATAGAATCCCAGACTGGTCTGTGTTGGAAATGACCTTAAAGCTCCTCCAGTTCCAACCCCTGCCACAGGCAGGGACACCTCCCACCAGAGCAGGTTGCTCCAAGCCCTCTCCAGCCTGGCCTTGGAACACTGCCAGGGATGGGTAAAGATGGAGAAAAAGGCAACAGGAGGATATGGAGAGAAGTAACAGCTCCAGCAGGAAAAAAAGAGCTCCTGTGGATCCTGTGCCCATCAAGTCACAGCCTTCCTGAGGCAGCTGCCAGCACTGACACATTCAAGTGACAAGTTGCAAGCGGTGGCAACAGCTCTTGTATTTTTAACCAGTTTAATGTTACTCTTGACACCAACAGAATGAAAACATTCCCAGCAAACATGAGGCAACGGCACCATTGGCACCACTCATCCTGGCTCCAGGACTGTCAGACTCTGGCATCGATGCAGAGCGAAAAGGGGAGTGGAAAGGGGGGATGAGGAAGCTTGTTGCAGGCTGGGAGAGCAAACACAGGGCCTGGTGCTGCCTCACCACCAAACACAGCACCAGAAGTGACCTAAGAAACGGCTGCTGCAGCCTCACACGTTGTCAATTTGATCACCCCCATTTCACACCAAACTTGTCCCTTCAAGGAGCTGGCAAGAGACAGGCAAAAGCTTGGCACTGCTCTAAGGTGACGTGGCTGCTGCTGCCCAGCTGGAGGGAAGAGCGCAGGCAGGCTCAGAGGGGAGGCCCCCTGTGCACAGAGCCCCCCTGCACCCACTGTGCCCCCCCCCGGACTCACTTGATCTTCAGCAAGTTGAGGGATTTGTTTTGTGCTGCTGTGATCTCGCCTGTCCTGTTTCTATTGGTGTACACGGAAAAGCCATTATTCCTGAAGCCAAATTCTTTTGCAACCTGAAAGAGAGACAAGAAATGACACGGCTGAAGGCACCTCACACCCCTGGGCAGGTGCTGAAAGCTGCTCAGAGTGCTAAATCCAGGGAAGTTCTATTGCAAAACTTGAGCTGAATTCATCTGCATTTCTGAAGGGCAGAGGATAACCAAGGAAAATAGAAACACTGCGTAACACAAGAGATCTATTTTAAAGAGGAACTGAAACAGAACATGTCTCTCACTCACACAACGCAAATGCAGCACTTTATCTAAACCCAGGCAAGTGCTGTCATGACTGGAAGGGGGAAACTCTCTCCTCATTACCCCAGGTCTGTCGCTCAGCCTTGCCAAGTCATCCTCATCCTCCTGTGACCAGAATTCCTCCATCCAGAGCTTCACCTCTGAGGATCTCTTGCCCTCATCTACTAGCTGTTCTCACCTCCCTCTGCTCTGACCCACCAGACGCTACATGAGTTTCACTCAAGCTCTTCCCACTGTTCTCCCTTCTGGTTTTCCTCATTTACCTCTTTTCTCCCCTCACAACAGCCACCTCTCAGGCCCAGGCAGGTTTTTCCCTGCTCATCCTCTCACCATGTTCACTTTAAGGCTGTTTTACTCTCTCAGCCAAACACCTCTTCACAGCAACAGCACTTCTCACATTGGGCCACTTAAAGACATCAGTTCCAAAGTGCCGTTAAAAGTTTCTCTAGATGACAAGTTTCATCCTAAACCCTCAAGTGAGCAGCCTTGATTTTCATCTAGAACACCTCCCTGTGGCTTTGGTAGGGCTCACGGGCAGGGACTGCACACAGGCCCAGCCTCAGGAGCCACAAACAGAGAGCAAAGACATGGAAAGCACCTTCTCCGAGTCAAACCTTTGCTTGCCAGGACACACACTTCACTTTGTTTTGGGGAGACAAATCCCCCAGTACATTACCAAGAGGCACGAGGCAGTTCCTACCTCATTCTAACCTGCACACACCCCAGAGATCACTCTTCAGTGCCCTCACCAAGGAGGTGCTGTAAAAGCCAGAAGATCACTGAGCCCTCCTCACTCTGATTTCTTGCTTCTTTTGTGGCTTCTCTGGAGTCAAGGGGGAGATCCAAGCTAATGGCCAGCACAGAAGCAGCAACCCGATGCTGTTTTAATTGCAGCTAAACACAAACCCCACCATATGGATGACCATCTCAGCGTTACAACCCACAGCTATTAATATGCACAGATCTTGGGTGGTAACGTTTGCAACCTTCCTCTTTCAAGCAAACCCTGTACCAGGAAAAGAAAAAACCAACCATGTCTTGTTTTCAGCTCAGGAAGAGGACAGAGTTTTTTCCCCAGGCCAACAGGCAATGTCAGTGAGTGCTGATGCTTTTGTTCCAACCAAGTGGCTGCAGGAGGATTGTTCCACACGGCCTCGGGTAATATGAACCCCTGAAAGCAGCAGCTTGTTTTGCACAGGGATTCTGAAAGCTTTTCTTTCCTTGGGTGAAGCTGTTGAGAGATCGAGGGGTGGCTCTGACCCAGCCCTGAAATCCATCAGGATTTTCGCCTGGTCAGGTGAGGATTGATGGGACGGTCTGAGCCCAAGCATCAAACAAAGGCAATGACTCACAGAGAGCAGAAGGTTTCACTCTGTTCCCATTCCCCCTCGCAGGGGGAAAGGAAATGGAGCTGACTGAAAGAAAGGCCCTTCAGGCACAGGAACACAAAGTGCTTCTCTTATAAAGCAAAGGAATCCTAATCTGACAGTTCCAGGTTAGAGCAGAGTTCCAGGAGGGAAGGAAACAGAACTGCTCGCTCTTGAATAGCAAACTTTAAACACTGAGCAGTTGAATTCAGACCAAAGAACAAGCCACAGCCAACTCCAGATGTGACAACTCCAGCACTTGGATGTTCTCCTCATCCCAGAGTGGAAATCCTTCCCAGTAGATGCCAGAGGCTCCCACATCACCTTAAGAACTCACCTCAATTCCTTCCCTGCTCTCTCCTAAACCACACTGGAAAACCAGCAGCACACAAAGCGCATTCAAATGTCATTCAAAGCATAAATCAAGCAGCTGAATCTGACCTGAAAAGGCCAAAGGCTTCGACTATCAGCTTTCACAGAGTCACCAACTGGCTGGAAGGGACCTTAAAGCCCATCCAGCTCCAACCCCTGCCATGGGCAGGGACACCTTCCATAGAGCAGCTTGCTCCAAGCCCCTGTGTCCAACCTGGCCTTGAACACTGCCAGGGATGGGGCAGCCACAGCTTCTCTGGGCACCCTGTGCCAGCGCCTCAGCACCCTCCCAGGGAAGAGCTTCTGCCTAAGAGCTCATCTCAGTCTCCCCTCGGGCAGGTTTAAACCATTCCCCTTGGCCTGTCCCTACAGGCCCTTGGCCAAAGCCCCTCTCCAGGTTTAGTGTAGCCGCTTTAGGTACTGGGAGCTGCCCCAAGCCTTCCTGTGTCCCTCTCAGCCCCAGGTGCCATTCCTTTGCCAGCACCCTACACACGTGTCCTACGAGCCCGTCCCCACCCCCCTGCAGAGCCCCCGGTACCTTCTTGAGGAACGTCGCCACGGTCTCGCGCTTCGTGGCCGTGATTCGCTTCACCCCCTCCGGCGACTGCACGCGGATGATCTGCGGGAGGAGGCCACCGCGGGTCAGCGCCGGAGCCCCCCCTGCGGCAGCCTCCCGAGCATCCCCGCCGCTCCCCACTCCTGCTTCCAGCGCCCCTCTTCAGGGAGGGGGGCACTGGCTGCTGTGTGCACAGCACGGGGTGAGGGACCCACGTGCAGGAGGCAAGAAGCTGGCACCGGGAAAAAAACTGACGCTGCTTTTGTCTGGCTCCAAGCTCTGACCTCAGACGTGGAATTAAACTTCCAGGAGCATGAATGAGAGGTGCCACGGGAGGGATTTACCGAGTGCCTGCGCGCAGACACTGGTCTAACCGGTGCTCCTGGGCACCTGCGCTCCTGTTTTGACTGAGGGCTGACTTCCATCGCTACTGAAGGGACGAGGGGAAGAGCCACAGGCTCAGGGTGCTCCTGTGAGACAAAGCAGCAGCTGCGCTGTGACCTGGAGTGAGAAACGGGGAAAACCAGCACTTCTGGGGACAAAAGGCCGGGGACAACCCTTCACAAAGGGGCAAACGTCAACGTCAATGTCCTCATGCTGCTCAGAGATAGAGAAGTGACTCGAGCTGCCCTAAAGCACGTTCACCTGCGGATGGGTTCCGCAGCGCCGGGCTCAGGCTGGCAGCGTGTCCTAGAAGGAGGGACACGGGGGGACACGGAGGCTGCGGTGTCCCGGCGTTACCTCGCAGGAGCCCCTTTAACCCTCTGACTTCCAGCACAGGAGCGAGCCCAGCGCCACGGGCACCGGACACCCTCACGGGACCGGGGAGCCCCTGCTTCAGCGCTATCGGCCCCCGGCCACGACGGGGCCCCTTCCCCCGACACCGCTGCTAACGGGGACCCGGGGTTACGGTCCCGAACCCCGCACGCTCCGAGGGGGGGGGGGGGGAACCGGGCCCGGACACCACCGCCCCCCAGGCGGGCCCCGGTGCGGGCTGAGCGCGGCCCGGCCCCGCCGCCCCACAGGAATCTGCTGCCTCATCGCCCCTCCCCCCGGCGCGGCCGCCCGGCCCCACTCACGATGGTCTCGGCCATGGCGCTGCCCGCCGGGACCGGGCCCCGCCGCCACGTCCCGGCCCCGCCGCGGCCCTGCCCGGCCCTGCCCGCTCCGCTGCCGGCCCCGGCCCGCTGCAGGCCCACCGCCTCCCGGGCCCGGCCCGCCGCCTGCGCCTGCTCCGCACGGGCCCCGCACCCCGGCACACGCGTTCCGCGGCTTGAGAGTTCCTAGCCAGGGCGGGGCGGTGCACCCGCCACAGCCGTCCCCCTGCACCGCTTCGGTGCTACACCCATAGCGGTCCCTCACGCTGCCTCGGTGCACTCACCTCAGTCGTCCGTCCGTGCTACCGCACCCTCACTTTAGTTCCGGCCATTAATCGGTCCCCCCACCCCCTCAGCATCATGCAGCAGGGCCCGGCCCGGCCGTGGGGTTCCCCGGTGCCCCCGCACGGAGCTCGGGTGGGCTCCCGCGGGGCGGGCAGCGGGACCGCGGCTCTGCCCGGAGCTGACCCCGAGATCGCCCCGCACCCTGTGCCCTGCTACCGGGAGCTGCGGTGGGGCCGGACCCACATCAGACCCAGCTGCGGGGCCGGGAGCCGCGGCCCTATTTAAGCGCCGGCCACGGCCCCTCACATGATGGCAGCGTGACCGGTTTGAGCCCCAGCACCGCGCTGAGAGCACGATGGCGCTGGGCAGAGCGCGGTCCCGTGGGGCGGCCGGCGGCGGGGAGCGCGCCCGGCTCCTGCCCCAGGTAACGCCGGGACCCCCGACAGCAGGGTGCGGGCTCCTCGCAGCGCCCGCATCCCTGGGGGGAATCCATGGGCATGAACCCGGGTTAGGGGCAGGGTCTCTGCCCCCGGGGTCGCTGTGATGGGGTGGATGTGGGGCACCCTGTGCTAGGGATGCGTGGTAGCTCCTGCAGCTTGTGACAGCCCCTGGAGGTGGGGCAGGGGGTACATGGGCTGAGGGGGTGCTTTGTGGGGGGGCTGCCCTAATGGCTGTGAGTGGTTTGCGCATCCATGCAGGCGTCCCGGCTGGTGGAGCTGCCCTGCTCCTCCTCCTCTGATGATGATGATGATGGCAGTGATGGAGACATGGACCTTCCCGCATCCCAGCTGGACCCTGCCGTGAGCTGCAGCATCCCCCCCGCACCGAGCGCCTTCAGCCAGTGCGTGCGGCACCTGGCCTTCCTCTGGAACCTCCTCTTCCTCTTGCTGGGGCTGCTGGCCCTGGCCCTGGGGGTCTGGGGGCTGCTGGCCAAGGGCTCTCTGGCCGGGGCGCGCTTGGCCCCGCTGGGCTCCGACCCGATGCTGCTCTTGGTGCTGGCGGGGCTGGCGGCCAGCGCCGTGTCCCTGGCCGGCTGCCTGGGCTCGCTGCGCTCCAGCCCCTGCCTGCTGCGCTTCTTCGTGGGCGCCGTGCTCGCCTTCGCGGCGCTGGAGGTGCTGGCGGCGCTGCTGGTGCTGGCGGCGCGGCACCGGCTGCGGGACGCGGTGCGGGATGCGCTGCTCCTCTGCCTCCTGCGCTACCAGGACGAGCCCGACCTGCGCTTCCTGGTGGATGAGGTGCAGCGGAGCCTGCGCTGCTGCGGCCTCGGCTCCTACCGCGACTGGGAGGCGAACCAGTGAGTGGGGCACCGGGGCGGGTACAGTGATGGGCATCCTGCACCCACGGGCGTGGAACCGGCCGCTCTCCTTATCCATCCCTACAGGTACTTCAACTGCAGCGCCCCGGGCGCGCAGGCCTGCAGCGTCCCCGCATCCTGCTGCCTGGACCCGTGGCAGAACGGCTCCGTGGTCAATGCCCTGTGTGCCGCCGGAGCGCTGCGCCTCGGGGATGCAGCAGCCGGCACCGTGGTGTACACGGGGGGCTGCGTGGCTCAGCTCAGCTCCTGGCTCCGCGGCCAGGCCGGTGCCATCGGGGCCGGCGCGGCCGTGCTGGTGCTGGTTGAAGCCGTCGGTGTGCTCATGGCGTTGAAGATGCTCAGAGACATCACGGCGCGGGGGTGAGGGTGCAGTGGGGGACACCAGCGGGGCCTGATCCGACCCAGAATAAACCTCGTCAAAGCCAAACCCCATCCGTGCCCTGTCCATCCCACCTCGCTTTCCATGCACGTCCCTGCCACCCCCATAGCACGACACCAGGCTCCCCGCGCTCCTTTTGGGTTTTAATGAGCATTTCTCCAGGCTGAGCCCCGCCATAAGGACGGGGCAGGCTCTACCTACACAGCACTAAAGGGTGGGAGGGCAGCGGTGGCCGCAGCCTCCCTAGATGATGCCGTACTGCGCCAGCTCATGCAGCTCCAGATGGCTGAATGCTTCCCAGGGACAGATGACGGTGATATCTGGGGAGAGGAGAGAGTTTGTGTCAGCACAACGGCCCCATTGCAGGCTGAAGCCAGCCCCATTCCCCACCCACCGCACAGGGGGGACGGGACCCCCATGTACCTGTTCCCAGCCCCTCCATGCCCGGGATGTCGTCGCCGAACCTGTAAAGAGAGGCAGTGTCTGAGCCCCATCCAGCCCCCCTGCCCCGTCCTGGCACATGGAGCTGTGCCCCCCGCATCCCTGCCCCACTCACCCCTGCACCCCCTTCTTGGGGGGCTTGCTTTTGAACTGCCTCGTCTGCCTCTGTTTGAATTTGGGGGGTCCCTTCCGGGGGGTGGCGGGTCCCCCCGTCACCCTCGTGACTGACTTGACCTCCACCTTGGGGGGCTCCAGGCTCATGGCTGTGCTGCGGTCGCTGTGGGTCTGGCGCTGGACGGCTCCTCACACCTGGATGAGAGGAGATGTGGGGGCACCGGCTCCTCCCACCACCCTGCGTGCCCCTGGCACCCCTCTGTTATCACTGACCCACCAAGCAGGAGAGCCCCCTCCCTGCAGCCTTGCCTTAGCCCAGCTCAGAGCCCGATAATCCCCTTTCCCCAAAGGCAGGGAAGGGCGTCCATGGGGATAAATTGCTGCTGTCTCCCTTGGGGCTGCTCCTCCGGTCCTCGGTCTGTGCCCCAGTGTAGATGGAGCCCCTCATTGGCATTGCCAGGACCCCCAGCCACGGCTCATGCTGGGTCTGTGCCACAGGCATGGGAGCAAGGTATCCCTCAGGATAACAGGATGGGATTTGGGAATGGTGGGCGCCCCACGCTGCCAATGCCTCTGGGTCCATGCTGGGATGCGGGCAGCCAGAGCCAATGGACATCACAGGGCAGCACATGGGCTCCATCCCGCTGTGGTTGTGCCTCTGAGCACTGCAACCACACCATGTGCTGAGTGAGATCCAGCACCGATGTGATGGGGTTCAGCACCACTATGGGGTCCCCAGTACGGGACCTGGCCTGGGGAGATGCCAAAGGTACCCTGGTCCCTGCTGCAGGAGCAGAACCCAACAGCAGGCTCCTGCCTGGAGCAGAGCACATCCCATCCCATCCCAATGGTCCCGGTGCCACCAGGTCCCATCCCATGCATGGGGCAGAGACCCGGACTTACTTGGCCGCCGCGGTCCTCGAGGCCAGCGCTGCTCCACAGGGCCCCTCCGTCCTCCAGCTCACCCCCTGCAGAGCTCTGGGGGGGCTTTTAGGGGAGGGCAGCTTTATCCTGCTCCAGGTAATAGGATTATTCACGTCCCTGCTTCCCGCGGGGGTAATCTGGTGTCCTTCCCCGTGGGATGGGGGCGTCTGGATTAGTGCTGCTGGGAATGACGATGTCGGGATCCCAGAGCACCGAGGGGACGCCCCACTCCCCCAAGGTCACCCCAAGGCCCCTTGATCACAGGGATGCTGCTGTTGGGCTCCTGCCTGCAGGCACTGCCAGAACCCATCCTGGCTCGGGGGCATTCTGCCCTTCTAGGGATGGATTCATCCCTAGCGATGCCACCTTCAGCTGGGAACTGCACCAAGACCTGGCAGCAGGGTGGCTGGGCAGCCCCACTGGCCCGGGACGCTATCGTTCCAAAGCTTCCCTTAATCCCAGCCTTAAAGCAATTACAAAAAGGAATAATCTCAGTCCACTTTAATTGAACTTCAGCCCCTGCCGCTAATTGCAATTAGTTGGACTCCAACAAAGAGGATTACAGGGATCTGGGTGCATTTCCTATGGAGCCGGCAGAACCAGCTCCTCCTCTGGCACGGAGCAGGGCCCTGGTGTCAACGGCTGCCTCCAGCTCAGCCTTCGTTAGCGCAGCTCCGGGGCTTCGTGGTTCCTTGGATGGCCGGGAGCCCCCCAGCCCCGCCGGGCAGGATGGAGCGGGGATGCGCTGAGCCAAACTGATGGGGTCTGACATGGAAACAAAGGCAAGGGAGGAAGAAAGGGCACCGGGAGCAGCCCGGCAGGCCGCGACCTGGCTGCTGGTGCCCTTGGAGGCTGCAGCCCCACGTGCTGGGGGCCGCACACTGCCTCCCTTCACACCACAGAAGCCCCTAAGAGGCTTAGAGCCGTGGGGAGGGGGGGTCCAGCGCAGGGTCCCGGCCCTCCCCACTCACAGCCAAGACGCAAACGGTGCTTAAAGCCCAAGCTGGGAGCACAAGGACATGGTGAGAGCAGTGATGGTGGCGGGGGGGGCGACAGCGCTGCCTGCCCTTGGATGGGATTTACCAGCCCAGGGCGCTCAGCGCACGCATGAGCCCCTGCCTGCCCATGGGGTGATGCTGCACAGGTCCTTGGCAGGGCTCAGGCTGTCCCCAGCCCATCACACACAGAAACACTTCCAAGCAGTGCAGGCTTGCTCAAACAAGCAGAGGTTCCTATGGGGAGGGGGGGGGTCCCCACTGGCTCTGGGGGTCCGGGGGATGCTCAGTCCTTCCTCATGCGCAGCCTGATCTCCATCCTCAGGATGGCTTTAACGTTCTCGTCCTCCACGTGCTCCTCCAGCGCCGCCAGCGCCCGGGCCCCTCCATCCTGGTACCGCTGCAGCAGCTCCTCCACGTACCCGACCCACACGCAGTTGGGGCAGCCGGTCCCGCAGCAGTGGGTCGGCGGGGGGGGCAGCCCTTTGTCACCTCGGGGTCCCCCCCCGCTGCCATCGCTCCCTGCGGTGCCGCTCTCCTTTGCTGGGGTGTCCGAGCGCTCCCGAACGCTGGAGGTGTTGGAGGGGTGGGAGAGGGGGGACCCTGCCCCGGGCACCCCCCCACTGCTGCTGGTGCCGTCCGGGGCCTCCTGAGAACAAAGACACTGGCACCAATTGGGGGGGGACACATGAGGACAGCCCTGCCCCCAGCGTACCCCCATCCCACCATCAACCCCCCCAGCAGCTCACACAGCCCCCCCATGCTCCCCTCCATCCCCAGCATCCTCCATCCCCCCGAGTCCCCCTTAGCCTCCCATCCCCAGCACCCCTCTATTTCCCCATTTCCCGCCTTAGCCCCACAACTCATGCCCAGCACCCCCTTATTTACCCCCAGCTTCCCCTTACCCCCCCCCCATCCCTCCACCTTATCCCCAGCATCCTCTTGCCCCCCCGCTCACCTTTTCCCCACGGCAGCCCCCCAGCACATCCCCAGCACCCATTACCCCCCATTCCCTCCTACCACACCCCCAGCACCCCCTTATCCCCCCTAGTTCCCCTTTGCCCCCCCATCCATTCACCCCATCCCCATCACCCCCCCAGCACCCCATATCCCCCCCATAGACCCCATCACCCCCATTGCCCACCCCCGGTCCCTCCTCACCCCCCGACGCGCCCCCGCCAGCCCCCGGGCTCCGCGCAACAACATCCGGGCGCTTCGGCCCCTTCCGGCCCCGCCTGAGTGACAGCTCAGCCAGCCAATGGGAGCACGGATGATGAGGGACCGGGGCCGCGTGTGGCCAATAACGAGCAGGGGGCGGAGGAAGGAGGAAGAGGCGGCGGGGTTGACACGTGGGGAGCGGCGGAGCCATGGGCAGGGGACCGGGACCGGGACCGAGACGGGGACAGAAACCGGGACCGGGATCGCGACAGAAACAGACATCGGGACCGGGACAGGGATCGGGACCGGGATCGCGACAGAAACAGAGATCGGGACAGGGATCGGGACCGGGATCGCGACAGAAACAGAGACCGGGACCGGGATCGCGACAGAAACAGAGATCGGGACCGGGACCGGGATCAGGACAGGGATCGGGACCGGGACCGGGATCGGGACCAGCCGCCCTTCAGCGCAATAGGTCAGTGCCCATGGGATCCGGTCGGGATCGCGCTTGGACCCATGCGGGTCTCGGTCCCGCAGGTGCCTCACCAGGTATCTGGTATCCTGCCGTGTCCTGGTCCCCATGTCCCTCCATGCCCGGGTGCCGGTGCCCAGCTCGCTGTGCCCCACTGGTGTGCCCGCATCCCGGTGTCCCACCGTGCCTGGGTCCCGGTGCTTCAGGACAGGCCTCGCAGCGTGTCCGGTCTCTCCCAGGAAGCAGAAGTTGCACAACATGAAGCCCAAGCACCCGGACGAGCAGGAGATCCCCTTCCGCCTGCGGGAGCTCATGCGGAGCCGGGAGGCCATGAAGCGCCCGCATCCCGGGAAGCAGAAAGCAGCAGGTGGGATACAGAACCGGACTGAGCATCCCATGGCACAGCTGGATCCTGCAGCGCAGCATCCTCCTTTGACGTCCCACCTCTGCCCTGCCATGGGGGGGGACCCCCAGCCAGCGCTGCTGCCCTGATGCCACCCGTCTCTCCTAGAGAAGCAGCAGCCCAAGTCAAAGGGCTCCAAAGCCCAGGGGGACATCCCCGTGCCCAGGTTCAGGAGAGGGAAGGGGGAGTCGGAGCGCTCCTACGTGTGCCGCATGGAGCAGGAGGTGCAGCGCGTCCTGTTCCTCACCGAGAACCAGCTGCAGCAGGAGCCGGAGAAGGAGCTGGCGGCACCGGAGAAGTCCAAGAGGAAGAAAGCGTGAGAGCAAGGCCCCTGCAGCTGCTGGGCTGGATGGGGCAGCCCTGTCCCCTGGCCCGGTTTGGGGGGTGTGCTGGGTGCTTTGCTGGTGCTGCAGCGCTGGTCCTGCGTCCAGCAGCGACTGGGGTGCGGGTGGAAGGTTATGGACCTCCATAGGGGCTGAATTGCTGGTTGGACTCAAGCCTGGGGGCTCTGGGTTTTGAGGGGTCCCATGGGGTAGGAGCTCACTCGTTTCTTGTTCGGTCACAAGTCCTGGCCATAACGGAGCTCTTCAGGTTTCAGAATAAGAAGCTGGAAAAAGCTCGGAAGAAGAAGGAGGAGAAGAAAGAGGCCATGCTGGAGAAGAGCCTGTTGCAAGGTGGGTCTGGCTCTGGGGTGCCTGGTGTCACCCCCTTACCTAGCAGCGTGTGGGGGGTGTTCCAGGTCTGATGCTGGCATCTGCTTCTCTCTCAGACACGGTGGCATTTGGGGACGTGGTCACGCAGCCACCCACCATCACATCATGGCCCAGGGGCCAGGGCCCTGCAGAGCAGGTGAGGTCAGGGGGGTGCTGCCTCCTGCCCCTCGGGTACCCGCAGTGCTGGGCTGGACCCGGGTCACCCCCTCCCTTGTGCTGGACATCACTCCTGGAAAGCCAGCTCTGACTCAGCCTTGGGGTCTCAGCTCCCGTGAGCATGGTCCTGCCTTTCCCCCCCCATCCCCGCTGACTGCCCCATCTCTGTCCCCAGGCCGGACGGAAGCGGCTCCTCCTGACTCCGCGCCTGGGCCGGAGCCCGGCGCTCCCGGCAGCGCCCGTGTCCATGGCTCGGCAGCGCATCGTGGCGGAGGAGAGGGCTCGTGTGATCCAGGCCTACAGGGACATCCAGAGGCGCAAGCAGCAGCAGCGGGAGGCGGCAGAGGCGAGCGCCAAGGCCGGACGCAGGGTCCCGCGCTGAGCCCAGCCTGGGCGAGCTGAACCTGGTCACAGTGGGAGCGTGCAGGCAGCGTGCAGGCAGCACCGGGCCCCAGGACGTGAAGGGGACGCTGTCCTGATGCTGCTCGTCTGTTGCCAAGCCCTGGGACTCCCCCCAGCCCTGTGCCTAAGCTCAGGGCACCCCATGGGCTCAGCACTGGAGCTGGGTCCCCCCTCCCAGCGCCATGGACGTGCTTGTAGTAAAGGTGCCGCTGAGTGCTGATGGCGTGGGGGTGTCTGTGTCCTCACAACCTGCTCGCCTTCCTTTCTGTGTGGCAGCTGGCGAGGGGCAGTCCCTGTCCCTTACCCTGCCATTGCTCAGCCATGAGGGAGACCCCAGAGCTTGGCCATGACCCCTCCAGTTCTCACCCCAGGGACACGGAGCATCCCACAGAGCTCCCCTGCACCGTGTTGTTTCCATCCCTTGTCACCACGCAGGGGCACCGTGAGCCCTTGATCTGCCCTCAGTGCCATTTACCCAGCCCGGCACTGCCCGTGTCCCTGCCAGACACCGGTGTCACGGTGCCCACGGTGCCCTCCCCATCGCTGCACCGTGAGGCCCCCATGGAACCCAGCCCTGGGGAGGGCTCCAGGGGGATGCTCCCGGCACGGCACAGCCCGTGCCCGTGGCGAGGGCTTCACCTGCACACACAAAGGCCGCGCTGTTCCCTGCCCCGTGCCGGCACAAAGCGCTGCCTGTCGGAGCGGGGCCGGCCCCGGCGCTGCGGCCGGCGCTGGCGGCAGCCGGTGGGATCCAGGCTTCCGGAGGGGCTGGGTGCGGGCGGAGCGGAGCCACCGGGGACAAAAGCGTTTGCACCTTGTTTGTGCCTTGTCCTCCGGCCGCCGCCTCCGTGCTCCACGGCTCCGGTGCCTGCGTGGGTCGTGGCCGTGCCGTGAGCTCACCGCGCTGTGCCATGCGGTGCTGGTGACAGCAGCCCCGGGGACTCCCAAGTGCCTGGTGCTGCTTGGAGATGTCCCTGGTGCCAAGGAGCACCAGGTAAACACGGGTGACGCGGCCAGATCCTACTGCAAACAACCGGCCCCCGTGGCCGTGCCCGGCCTCTAGCGCTGCCGCGGGCACGTGCTGGATGGCAAGGGCACAGCCAGGACATGGCGTGTGCCAAACTCTTGCTTGTGCATCCCTCGCTCACGGCCCCATCCCTGCTCAAGGAGACCAGGTCACGCCTGCCCCCACGCAGCCATTTCAGCCCCTGAATAATTCATGGTGCTGCTGGCCGCAGGCTTCCTGCCCGGCAGAGGAATCGCTGCCGAGGGAAAGGCAATCCGGGCAGGAGAAACCACCCCGACCTTGGCATGTCCTCTGCGCCGTGCCGCTTCCCACCAGCAGCCCATCTGCCTGCACTGCGCTGCCCGTCCTGCCGGATCCGGCCCCATCTGTGCTGTCATGGGGGGCCCCGCAGCCCCCCCCCCCTCCCCAGAAAGGGCTGAACCCCACTGGTACCGTGGCAAAAGCTGTTGCTCTGGTGGGGTCGCGGATGGGGAGCTGGGTACCGCCTCCCCATCATGGGCAAGCGCCGCATAGGAAAAAACCACCTTTATTGGGGCTGACCTGAAAAAAAGGAGGAAAGAGGAAAAACAGAGAAAGCCAAGAGGAGGGTGAGGGCCCAGCTCCCTCCCTGCTCCCCAGGAGGGATCCTTGAGCCCCGAGGTGGGGAAGGCACCGAGACGGCGGCTGGAGCCGCAGGGGGGTCAGGTCCCAGCCCCAGCGATGGGGAAACTGAGGCACGGCAGGAGCCAGAGCTGGGGAGAGCTTCACATCAGCTGGTGCCCTGCAGCGGGGCGCTGCTGGCTCAGCTCAGGGCCTGTGGGGCAGCGAGAACCAAGGGCTCAAGACCCTGGGCAGGCGTCCCCTGGCTCCCTGGCAGTGCGTGGTCCCTGGCATGGGGACACGGGGTGTCCGTGCATCACGAAGGCAGCGAGGGGACAAGTCGGGGTGGCCCCATGGGAGGCAGACCTGGCGGCAGGGATGTGGGGTCCGGCAGAGCTGGCAGCTTGTGGGTGCCACAGGCAGGAGCGATAGCTCCGAATGCATCCAGGCTTCACCTGCACGGGACCCAGCTCCAGCTGCTGATGGGATGGGCTGAAGGCAGTGGGGCACGAGGAGGCTTGGTGAGACCTCGGGAGCGGGATGGTGGTGCCATGGCTGTGCCGGTGCTGTGAGGTCCGTGCCATGGGGGCTTCACCACCGGTTCCTGCTGTACGGGGACTGCACCTGCGGGCAGAGCGGGGTGGCAGTGGGGTGGCAGACCCGGCCCTGGCACCGGTGCCGTGGTGCAGCCTGACTCACCGGGGGCTGGGCAGAGCCCTCCTCCCACTGGAGACGCTGCGGTGGGGATAGACTTTGCCCCCTGCTATGGGCTGCACCTTGGTGCCCGCTCCCCACCCGCGGTGTTGCACATTAACCCACCTGGCAGCTCCTGCCGTCCCGTGGGGCGCCGCCGGGCCGGGCCTGCACCGCGAACGCGTCCTCGGCTCGCAGCGTGGAGCTGGTGCTGCCGGCGGCGGGGCTGGCCGTGGAGGCGCGCGGCAGGATCACGTCGTAGGGACCTTCGGTCTGAAGGGCAGGAATGGGGGGGGCTGCAGCATCGCTGTCACCACCCCCAGCCCCATGGGGTCTCAGTGGGGGAAGGCGAGGGGTGATGCTTCCCAGTACCCCATTACAGCAGCCCTTGTACATGGGGATCCCCCAAGCCATGGTCCCCATCCCAGCCACTCTTGGTTGGAAGCCCATCCATCAGGCAGGATGCGGCCACCACTACAGAGCCCAGCATCGCACTTACCGGTCCCTTGTGCATCAGGGCCATCTCGGTGGGCTGGTAGACACTGGTAAGGAGCTGCCCGTTGTAGCCGCTGTACGGTGACACGGGTTTCTTGGCTGCAAAGAGATGGGGACAATGAAGAGGGGGGCTCAGAGCCACCCCCACCCCCTGGGGAGCTGGTCCTCATTAGCAGGGTTCAATGAGCTGACTCAGTGCCACTGCTCTGCGCCACTGCCGGGGGACAGGAGGGATGTCCCTGGGGTTTGCATCACCGGCTGCTGCGCGGCCGGGGTTTGTTATTGTAGGGTCTCTGGGGAGCACCCACCCTGCCCCATGGGCTGCAGACACCTTCGCTGGCGCCCAGCTGCCATTCCCTACAATAACATCACCCTGTGTGATGTTATTCCCTACAATAACATCACCCTGTGTTATTGTAGGGTCCCGCGAGCGCAGCGCCTGCCTGGGGCGGAGGGCCGGGAGCACCGCTGCGGTGCTGAGCTCAGCCCAAACTGGTAGACCCAGCCCAGCGAGTTTTCGGGAGCCACAACCACGTCAAGGCACCAATCCCGGGCAGGCCGTGGCCAGACACCTCGCTGCCACCCACCACTGCCAGCGCCGGTGCCCCGGCGCGAGGCAAAGAGCATCCGTGGTGAGCCCCGGCGCCTACCGAAGGAGGGCTCGTCCATGGAGAAGGCTTTGTTCTCCACGAACATGCTCTGCGACTTCTGCTCCTTGAGGATGGTCTCGTAGCCCACCCCGCGCGTGGGGTACCCGTCGTCCTCGAAGGGCTGCTCGGGGCCGTGCCGCGTCGCGTGCGTCACCTCGGGGATGACGTAGAGCAGGAGGAAGGCGCAGGCGTTGGCCACCAGCGCGATGGCCAGCGTGGGGTCATCCCAGCCGGGCTTCTCGCCCGCGCGCTGGTTCCCATAGAGGTACATCACGGTCCACGCCACCCAGATGGCCACCGAGAGGCCGGTGGTGGCCAGGATGAAGGCGCCGTGCTTGCGCCAGCGGCCGTAGCGGCCGCACAGGGCCGGCCAGGCGGTGCCGAAGGCGGCCACCAGCAGGAACATGACATAGATGAGAGCCATGACAAAGTCAGCGTCCGCCAGGCGGCAAGGGTCCGCGGAGCTGCCCTCCTGCCGCGCCACGGTGATGATGAGCCACTCGGCGTTGATGATGACCTCCACCAAGGCGAGGAGCAGGGCCACCGCCAGCGTCACCCAGCCCCGCGGGCCACGGTTCCTCCGCACCAAGAAGTTGAGGGCCACGGCGTGCGCCAGCAGGGAGGAGAAGCAGATGGCGAAGAGGACGCCGAAGAGGAAGCGTCGGGAGGTGCAGGTGGAGAAATCCGGCCCCACGACGAAGTCAAACGTCAGGCAGAAGAGCCCGAAGGTGCCCAGGAGGAAGAAGACCTGCGTGGCCACCAGGCTCTTCTTCTGGTGGTCCTGCACGAAGGGCAGGCTGGCCACCAGGACGATGGTGAGCACGAAGCTGGTCACCACGCCAAGGCTGGCCACGGCCTCCACCACGATGCCCCAGGCTGCCGAGAGGTCGCAGAGGTTGTAGTAGAGGGAGGAGAGGTCCTTGCCGCAGCCGGAGGGAGCGCTGGTCTGGCCGGTGGCCGTGGGGAGCAGGACCAGCAGCACGCAGGTGGCCACCGGCGGCACCGCGGCAGCACCCATCCTGCACCGTGCTGTGGGCGCTGAGCACGGCGTCCCTGCAGGACAAGGGGAGTGTCAGGACACAGGGATCAGGGATGGGGATCAGATCCTGATGATGGCTGTGCCGGCCCAGAGCTCAGAGCATCCCTCCTGCCAGGCCGCGGTGAGCACTCAGGTGCTGGGAAGCTGCATCCACGCTGGCACAGCCGAATCCACCCCAACGCTCCTTGTCCAGAGGCCTGAGGCCACTGGAGGGGCTCGGCCCCCTGCACCCCACACACTCCCTCCTGACACAGGATTTCTCCAGTCATGACCGGCACTTGGAGCTGTGCTGATCCCATCCTCCGGTGCCAGGAGCAGGCAGCACCGTGCCCGCTGGCTCTCCTGGAAACACCAAACACAGACCTGGGCCAGCGGGAGAGGTAACACCCGGGGACGGGGCTGTCCCCTTGGCTTGTCCCTGCGTGCCAGCCCGTTCCCCTTTCCACTTCTCCTGTGCTGCTTCCCTCTGGCTCCGGGCACTGACCCAGCGCAAGTCCCGTGTCCGCTGGCACGAAGGTGGCCACAGCCTGGCACGGCACGGGCACAACATGGGGGCCCCTGTACCCGCTCCTGCGACACTGGGGTGGGCACGGGGAAGAGGTGGCAGCGAGGGAGCTGCAGCCCCAAAGCTGGGGAAGGGGGGAACGGGCGGGACACGTCCGGCAAGGTGACCCCGGGCCGGGAGCCGGGACCCCCCCCACCCCGGGGCAGACCCAGCGAGGCCGGGATGGGGACAG